GTACACCAATTACCATTTTTCTCTTTTATTAGTGTAGATGATATAGATATGAATGAGTAATTAAATATCAAACTATGGTCAACCTCATTAATTATTAGGGAAGTGCCACTCAAAACTACAATGAAATACCACATCACACACTAGGAAAGCTAAAATAATAACTATTTTAGGTGAGTATGTGGACACACTGGAACTCACATTGCCGGTGGAATTGTGAAATGTTGCAGGCACTTTAGAAAAAAGTCTGGCAATTCCTCAAAATGTTCAACATGGATTTATTATATGGCCCAGCAGCTTCATTTGGAAGTATATCAGTTGAACTACTGTAACAAATACTATAAACTGGGTATGTTATATACAACAAGAATGTTTTCCTCAGCAGGAGGTTGGAGGGCCAAGATGAAGGTGCCCACAGATCAGGTGTGTGGCAAGGGCCCACCTTCTGATTCAGGGCCAGCCCTTCTTGCTGTTTTCTCACATGATGGGAAGGGAAGGGAGTTTTTCTCAGGCCTGTTATAAGGGCACTAATCCCATTTATGAGCCTTCAAGACCTAATCGCCTCCCAAAGGCCACATCTCCTAATTACTATCACCTTAGGGAGCAGGATTTCAACGTAAGAATTTTAGAGAGACATAATCAGACCGTGGCAGTATATATCCAAGATAAATGAAACCTATTTCCACACAAAAACGTGGGCATGAATGTTCATAGCAGAATTATTCAGAATAGCCAGAACCCGAAAATCCATCAACTGATGAACAACAAAATGTGGCACAAACATGTAACAAATATTATTCAGCAATAAAAAGAAATGAAGTACTGATGCATACTACAGAATGAATGAACCTTAAAAACATAATGCTTAAGAGTCTATTCACGAAAGCTCACATTTTGTATGATTCCATGCATATGAAATGTCCAAAATAGGCAGAGAAAGTAGACCAGGGGTACCCCGGGCTGGGCAGAGAGGAGAAGCAGAGTAGAGGCTAATGGCGACAGGGTTTCCATTTGAGTTGATAAAATGTTTTTAGAGAATGGTGATGGTCGCACAACTGTGAATATCCTGAAAACTTCTGATTTATACACTTTTTAAACGCGTTTATATGGTATGTGAATTTTATCTCAATGAAGCGCTTATAAAAATATGACTTGTGATAAAACCAAGAAAGAGGTTGAGGGGTAGGTGCTGGTTAGTTGTTCGGCTGAAATAAAATATTGTGATCTGCTCATTTCTTGCCTATGCAGGTGCTCCTTCCATGCACTCCTCCAATTCCTTCAGAGCATCTTGAGACTGATTTCTACAGAAAATATTCTGCCCATCACCAGAAAGTCTAGTTCAGCTGGTAAATATTTGTTGATTTTGTGGAAGACAGTGTTCCACATGCCATGGGGAAATAGATAAGCTATAATCCCTGACTTCAAGAAACTTAGCCTAGCTCTGGCAGGTTGCTCAGTGGTTAGAGCAGTGGCCTGTGGACTGAGGGGATCCAGTTCAATTCCTGGTCAAGGGCATGTACCTAGGTTGCAGGTTCATCCCTGTCCCCGGTTGGGGCTTGAGCTAGAGGCAACCAATCGATGTGTGTCTCTCACATTGATTTTTCTCTTTCCCCCCTCCTCCCTTCCTTTCCCTTTTCCCCTCCTTTATACTCTAAAAGTCAATGGAAAAAATATCTTTGAGTGAGGATTATACATAAATAAACTTAGTCTAGGGACAGATGTTTTTAAAAAGTTTGTAAGATCAACTAAGGCCACTAAGACAAAGACTTAAAGTTTTAGAAAAAAGGATTTCTCACCTTGTTTGAGAAATCATGGAAGCATTTATGAAAGAGGGGACTGTTTAAGCTGAAGCAAGAGGTCTAAAATGTAGCATTTACCAGGTACTGAGAGCAAGTTGCTGCAGCCAGTTGAGCAAAGGATGGAGGGAGCACTTCGCCATCAGAACCATAGCCAGCTGAGAACCCACTGCAGCTCTAACCCTGGGCGTGTCACTGTGCAGGGATATGTCTGAAAGCTTCACCCCACTACATGTGTGCGATCCCACATCATGGGGAACTTCTAAGAAACACAGAACATGTCCATTCAACCTACGCCTCTGAACAGAGCTGTCCATGAGAACCTGTGATGACAGAAACGTTCTCTAACTGCACTGTCCAATATCGTAGCCATGGCCATGTGTGGCTGTAATGAGGAAATAAAATTTATGATTAAGTATCTATGTGGCTAGCAGCTCCTATTGGTCAGTGTAGGTCTAGAACAGCCGTGGGCAAACTACGGCCCGCGGGCCGGATCCGGCCCATTTGAAATGAATAAAACTAAAAAAAAAAAAAAGACCGTACCTTTTTATGTAATGATGTTTACTTTGAATTTATATTAGTTCACACAAACACTCCATCCATGCTTTTGTTCCGGCCCTCCGGTCCAGTTTAAGAACCCATTGTGGCCCTCGAGTCAAAAAGTTTGCCCACCCCTGGTCTAGAACCTTGAGTAGCTCTTAATGAACCACTCATAACATTACATGATGTCGAGCCAGTCCAGAAAGTTAACTTTAGAGCATCGTGGTCTTTGGGGATCATGAAGATCTACTTAACGTGAGACAGAACTTCACTTTTGTCTCCACCTTTGCATACCTGGCACATTAACTTTACTCTTGGCATTAAACCAACATTTATTGAGCCCCCATTAACACCAAGGTTAAAGTTAAACCTTTTCAAAACATAATCCAAGAATATGGAGCATCTGCACTTTTCAAAAACTTGCACAACTTATTTTGACAAGCCTGTGCAGATCCTATATAATAAAAGGTTAATATGCACGGCAGAACCACAGGTCACTATGATGTGCACTGACCACCAGGAGGCAGACGCTCAACACAGCAGCTGACGCGCACTGATCATCCACAGTAGTGCTAGGGATGTCCGAATGATGGCTTAGGCCTGCTTTCCAGGGGGTGGGGTAGAGGGAGCAGGCCTAAGCCATCACTTAGACATTCCCCAAGGGCTCCTGGACTGCAAGAGGGCACAGGCTGGGCAGAGGGACCCCCCCCTCCCTCCCCTCCCGGCCCAGTGCACGAATTTCATGCACCAGGCCTCTAGTAGGGAAATAAAATAAGATGTCAGAAGAGAAGAGACCCCAAAATAAAATAGCTATAAAAAACTGCTTGCTTAGAGAAATATGGGCTACAGGTCCACAACTGATATGGCTAGGTGGTGATTTCAAGGATGCAAGTCCTTTCTTCATTATTGGTCCACTGTCCTTGATAGTCACCTTCAGACCATGGCATTCTAGAAGGGGAAAGGGCTGGAACAAACATACCCATTCTTCTAATAGGCACACATCACTACTATTCACATTTCTTTAGCCGAAACTTAGTGAAATCACCTAGTTATAAGAGAGTCCAAAAAGTACTTATTCCCCCCTGCCCCAGATGTAAGGTAAATGTAACAAGCTAAAATATGGTGTTCTATTACAAAAAGACAAACGAGAGAATGGAAATTGAGAGATGAGTAGCAGTCTCTGCCAAAGAAAGCACAGTAATGTTTTGAATTTCACAATAATGCAAAATGCCTAGATTCCAGTGGTGAAACTGGAGGTGTAACTGGGCTAATCAAAAAATTACTTTTACACATCTACTCATTGACCAAAAAAAAAAAAAAACCCTCAAACATAGAACAAAATTTAAAAAATAGCCCTGGCTGGCTTGGCTCAGTGGATAGAGTGTCGGCTTGCAGACTGAAGGGTCCTGGGTTCAATTCCGGCCGAGGGCACATGCCTGGGTTGCAGGCTCGATCCCTAATGGGGGGCGTGCAGGAGGCAGCCGATCAATGATTCTCTCTCATCACTGATGTTTCTATCTCTCTATCCCTCTCCCTTCCTCTCTAAAATCAACAAAAATATATTTAAAAAAATTAAATTAGTGCTATTTATTTTTCTTTTCTGATCTAAATATTTTAAGTCTTATTTAAGGTAAATTAAACATGCACCTGTACCTAATAAAAATCAATCATAACCATCACACAGAATCAGAAACTTTATTTACTAAAACACTTTACATTATACTGTTATTGGACAATCATTTATTTAAAATATCCTAAATACTTACAAAAATAAATCAAATATTGCTTCTATTTTTCAAGTGTCAAAGTCTTTGCCATGGAAAATAGAAAGGACCTTTTATAAACTACACATTACAATTAAGCTACATCACGTTTAATAACTGCACACCATTGTCTTTTGCAGTTGTGCTTTAGTGCTTTACAAATTCCTAAACGACGTTTTCGCAATGTACAGGTTCACTATAAGACTGTATACATACAACCATATACACTCATTTTACACAGGAATGATTCTTGTTAAATATACACAGAGAGAACCTAACACGGTAATATTGGGCCCTATAAGCCACCCCATAGAGCCAGATGTGCCACTATACAGTAACAGGTATAGGTGTACAAACATTATCTAACATTCAAATCAGCACTCCAGTATCCAAGATGATACCTTCATGAGGAATGCCCAGTTTAATGTCTCTAGACAAGAATTTAATTCTTTTCTGTTGTTGTTAAATCTCACCCGAAGATAATTTTTTCCACTGATTATTAGAGAAAGTAGAAGGGAGGGGAGGAGGGGGAAGATAATGGGGGGAAGGGGAGAGAGGGAGAGAGAGAGAGAACGAGATGAGAGAGAGAGAGAGAGAGAGAGAGAGAGAGAGAGAGAGAGAGAGAGAGAAATATTGGCTGGTTGCTTGCCACATGCACCCGAACCTGGACTGGGGATCAAACCTGCAACCCAGGTATGCACCCTTGACAGGGAATTGAACCAAAGACCCTTTGGTGCATGTGCCAGTGCTCTAACCACTTAGAAACACTAGCCAGGACAAGACATTAATTCTTAATCTATACTAAATCATTAGTTCAACAGCCTTATTTATTAAAAAAAAAATACAGTGAACTTAAAATATTTCTCAATACTTTAAGTTAATCTCAGGGTAAACATCACTGCCATATGTATACATACTTTTCATTTTAAAAAGAGAAAGTAATATTAATTACACAACAAATGCTCAAAATAAAGATCATTTCCAAATGGTCTGTGGTTTTACTTTATTATCACTGGGACATTCAACTCATTACCACATAATAAATGCTAAATTTCTCTTCCCTGGTATATGCACTTAAGCATCACTTATAACACAGACATACATAATTCATGGTTTATGAGGAATATTTATAATGCTTTACCACCCACAGGGTGTCAATCTCACTCTATTAACCAGATGTGGAAAACAATCTCACTTCTGATCAATTCCTGAATTTCCATATGATTAATCACAATAATATAGAACTTTAAATTACATTAGTCTTGTATAAATATTTAAGTATCAAGCAATTTAAATTCTACTTATAAACTAGAAAAGTAGTAAATCACAAAATTTGCTTTTTCTCTATTGAGATAAAGAATCTAGCTTATTCATAAATTGCACAAATTACGTAGAAATTCCAAGTATAATCGAAAATTTGTGAGCAATTGAATTGTGAAAATATTAATTTATTGGCATTGATGTTTTACAATAACTTTCAGTAAAAGGGAGTTTGACAAGGTTGTTTATTTTCAATTATAAGCAAGTAGTAAATACCAAAGGAGCTCATGTCTTACACTGACCAAAATATTCTAAAATGCCATATATTTAGAAAATTTTAATTGGCATGCTAATACACTTTCATTTCACCAAAAGTCACAGGCACACAGAGACTATAAGGCTATATGAAGAAGCAAACCAACTATAAAACCGCACTGAAAAAAGACACCAAAATCTAAGAGGTAGTCAACAGAAGTAACCCTGATAAAACAAAATATCCTGACAGATGTGCCCTAATCTAAGAGACCAAAATACAGTATGGAAGCAATTCTTGTATTTTCAGTAATTAAAAAAAAATTACTGGTAGAGAATCAAAAAACCAAGAATCTAAATAAGTAACATTGCAAATTGGAACAATATTTATATTTTCAAGGAAAGGCAAAGAATAAACTCTAGACCCAAGGAGGTCTATAGCCTGCAGGCCAAATCTGACCTAACACTAGTCTTTGTAAGTAAAGTTTTACTGAAATACAACCACACCTATTTGGTTTACATACTGTGTATGGCTACTGCTTTCATACTTAAGGGCAGAGCTGATTTACCTGCCACCCCTGAACACATGGCCAACAACACCTAAAGTTACTACTATCTGCCCCTTTACAGAAAAGTGTGCTGACCCCTGCCTGGTCTATGCACAGCGGATAAGTGTGCAGCTGCTGAAAAATACTGGAAAGATGAACTGTGAATGTCACAACACAAGCTATTCCACTTTAAGGAACGCAAATGCTAGTTTTGCCACAATTCCTTTTCATACTGAAATAGTCCTGGCATTTTTTTCTTTTTACTTTTGTGGTCTAACAGCAAGGAGTGTTTCAATGTTGTTATAAGAAGAGTTAGCATGGCACTGTCCAGTAGAACTTTCTGCAATGATGGAAATATTTTATATCTGCACTAATTCTGTAACCATTAGCCAATGTGGATACTGAGCATTTGAACTGTGGCTGGTGCAACCAAAAACTTAATTTTAATTAGCTTAACTAAAATTGCCACATGTGGCTTGTGGCTACAATATTGAACAGCACATATTTTACTCATCTAATTAAAATTCCAACAAGTAACTCTTAAAAAATGAGAAAGTAACACCTCTGAAAATAACGGGCTTTGGGCAAAAACGAACTGAAAACCATAAACATAGCCCAAGACAGATTGTTTACTTATTAAACAAAATTAACTTGATTTCAAATTGTTTCATTGCTGCACCATTTCTTCTTAGGAGGCAAAATTATTATATCATTTTTAGCAGAAATCCTAATAATTTTATGCTTAAAAGTAAAATAATTATTGTTATTAATTATATTAAAGAGCATGTGGATGTTTCACACAAAGTATCACTTTATACTTTTAGCTTGTTTCCCACCAGAAAGTCACCTCTCATTAAAATCAGTTTATCCATTTACCCTTCCCATTTCCACCCTGCTGCATAGAAGCCCTTTTTATAGTAGGTAACAGAAGTATATAACCTCTTCTGAATCTGTAAAACTTCCTATTAGTCACTTTGCTATAGCAAAGTCATTTCAACAATCAAAACTTCCAAATGTCATATCTTCTACTTCACGATAAGATATACCTATTCAATGACAGAGTTAGAGGCTACAGGTCAAGTCTTGTATATATCAAGTAAAAAAATATAACTCTTATATAGTTCTACATGTGCCTACCTTAAGGTTATTTTTATATGGACCAAAACAATAAAATGAATATAAATGTATTTTTAAATTACTTATTACTGATTACACATTGCAAATTAACCAAGTTACTGACACAAATGAAAACACTAAACTAAAATATACAAAGTCAATTTGAAATTATAATAGTCTCAAAACACAAATGTTTAGATGGGTGCCTAATTACATCTTCTAATTATTCAAATGTGCTCCCTCAGAGAAATAGCTAATTGTAAAATTTGTTTTCAAAGTCAGCCAGCAAACTTAATTCCATGCCTCTTGAACAGCTGATATCCAGCATCATAAACATCTTTTTCAGTCTGGTAGTTGGTTGAAAGACACAAACTATTTTAAGGGCACTTCTGCTTGTTGTCTTTAGCAGTTTAATCAGAGGTTGCAGCAGGAACTTTTACAGAGAGATTTCTTCGGGAGTTGGTGATGTGCCGCTGCTGTGCTAGGAAAGACCGTGCGGGAGGACATGCAGCAGGGTCTTTGCCAGCCCCGCTGCTGCTCACAAGTCTAGATTCCATCCCCAGTTTCTGGAATGCTAGACTCTGAACAAAAATAAATAAAAAATAAAATGACTACTTAGAGTTAGATTTTAAAGTGCTTTTTACATACATAAAGTTATTTAATCCTCAAAACAATACTACAAAGCTGGTGTTGGCCTCATTTTTTAATTTAAAGAATAAGGGTGCAGAAGTTAATCTGGTACTGCTAGCAAGAAGAAAACAAGGGCATAAAACCTAGTTTCTCTATGTTAAGCCATTAAATATAAAATCATTAAAAACAGCACCTTAAAATAATGCTCTAAAACTAACTTTAATTACAAGATTAAAATAAAAAGGTTCCAAAGCAAAATTTTGCATTTGGGCAATCACTCCACCCACATTGAGCACCCATAACACAATATAAAAGTTTGGGTCAATGGTTACCTAAGTGTAACCCCTGGATTAACATTAGCACCAACGAGAACTTGTTAAAAAATGTAAATTCTACCTATAAATGCTACCCAAACCTAGTGAGTAAGAAGCTCTGTAGGTGAGTGCAATATTTTAACAATGTCTTCAGATGCATGCTTAAGGAAAACTAAGAAAACAATCCCATTCAAAATTGCTTCCAAAGAGTAAAATACCCAGGAATAAATTTAACCAAGAATGTAAAAGACCTATACTTGGGAAAGTATAAGACACCAAAGAAATAAATTGTAGAAGATACAAATAAGTGGAAGCATATTCCTTGTTCATGAATTGAAAGAATTAACATCATTAAAATGTCCATACTACCCAAAGCAGTCTATAAATTTAATGCAATTTCTATCACGATACCAATGGCATATGTCACAGAATTATTCCAAAATTTTATATGGAACCGCAGAAGATCCCAAATAGCAATATGATCTTGAGAAAAAAGAACAAAGTTGGAGGACTCACACTACCCATCATCAAACTGTACTACAAGGCCACAGTTATCAAAAAAGCATGGTGCCAAGCTGGTGTGGCTCAATGGTTGAATGTCAACCTATGAATCAGGAGGTCATGGTTTGATTACTGGTTAGGGTACATGCCCGGGTTGTGGGCTTCATCTCCAATAGTGGGCTTGCAGGAGGCAGCCAATCAATGATTCTCTCTCATCACTGATGTTTCTATCTCTTTCTCTCTCTCCCTTAAATCAATAAAAATATTTTTTTAAAAATACTTAAAAAAAAACAGCATTAATACTGGCATAAAAAAAACAGACATAGAGATCAATGGAACAGAATAGACAGCCCAGAAATAACCCCATGCCTTTACAACAATTAATGCTTGAACAAAGGAGGCAAAAACATACAATGGGGTAAAGCTAGTCTATTAATAGAAGTGTTGGAAAATTGGACAGATGAATGCAAAAAAAATGAAACCAGACCATCTTCTTACACCACACACAAGAATAAACTAAAAATGGATTACAGACTTAAATGTTAGGCTCATAAAAATCCTAGAAGAAAACATAGGTAGTAAAATTATGGCCATTCCTTGTAGCAATATTTTTTCTGATATATCTCCTTGGGCAAGGGAAACAAAAGAAAAATGAACAAATAGAACTACATCAAACTTAGACATTTTTGCACAACAAAGGAAACCATCCATAAAATAAAAAGACAATCCACAGAAGGGGAGAACATAATTGCCGATACATTTGATAAGGGGTTAATATCCAAAACTTATAAAGAACTTATAAATGCAACACCAAATAAAAACAAGCAATCCAATTAAAGAGCAAAAAGGACATATGGCCAATAGACATATGAAACGATGCTCAAGTTCACTAATCATCAGATAGATGTAAAGTAACACCACAATGAGATATCAGAATGGCTATCATTAAGATATCAACAAATAAGGTGGGAATGAAGACTTAGTGCAGCCACTGTGGAAAGCAGTATGGAGATACTTCAAAAAATTAAAAATGGAACTGCCTTATGACCCAGTGATCCACTTCTGAAAATTTATCTGGAGAAACCAGAAACACTAATTCGAAAGAATATATACACCCCTGTGTTCACTGTAGTGTTATTTATAATAGCCAAGATTTGGAAGCAACCCAAGTGTCCATCAGCAGATGAGTGGATAAAACAGCTCTGGTACATTTACACAATGGAATACTAGTTGGCTATAAAAAAGAAAATTTTATCCTTAAGATAGCATGAATGGACCTGAAGAATATTATGCTAAGTGAAATAAGCCAGTCAGAGAGAAACAAGTACCATATGATTTCATTCATATGTGGAATCTAATGAATAAACTAAGATAACAAGCAAAACAGAGATAGACTCATAGATACAAGACTAACAGCTCAGGCATGGGAGTGGCTGGGGGATGGGAGAGGGATTGAGCCAAAAAAAAAAAAAGAACTCATGGACAACAGTGTGGTGATTGCATGGCAAGGAGGTAGTGGAGGTGGAGGAAGGTATAGAAGGATTAATGGTGATGGAAAAAAATAAAATAAAATAAAATAAAATACAATAAAATAAAATAAAATACATTTTTTAAAAGGGCCACAGAACAAAGAAAATAATCCATAGTCCTCTATATTAACCAGCAGGATAATTAACTCATGATGGAAAAGAGTCTGGGAACACTTCACAAGTAATTTCCTTTAAAGCCTTGTTAAATTAAGTCAGATTTTACCAAATAGAGCAGGGAAGGAAACAAAAGAGAACAAAAAGTTTGAAGGCATGAAAGAAACAAAGCATGTCTGAGGAGGGACTAGTTTTATGTGGTGAAGAATGGGGGGGGGGTCCTATAAATTGATTATTTTCTCATTTTAAATAAGCAGCATCTATGGTAGGTTGTGCTTGTATCAATATCTATTCTAGCTGATTAGAATAACCCAAAAGAACCATGAAATGCTACTTTTCTTAAAAACATCCTACAGATACTCAGAGTAAAAAAATAAAACACATTTCAAATTATTTTATACTATTTTTCTCCTTGTAAGAACAACTACTGAGGAGTAGTCCCTGGATTTAAAAAAAAATAATACACTAAAGACACACTGAGAGGCTTCAGGGAATATTAAAATAAATGCTGATTACTAGAAGCACTTCATGTTGCATTACACAGATATTCACATTTCTAAAGAAACCTTTATGGAACACAAATATAATGTTTTAACTCAAATAATGCAATTTTAAAAATATTTATGGACTGTTGCATGTACACTTCATGTGCTTTAAAGGTGAATGAGTCATGAAATCAATTTACTGATTTTGAAAAAGTAAAAATCAACTAAACACATTAAATTAAAATATATAGTTAATTGGGATTATGACCAACATTATTTTTAAAAAAACAGAGTATGACAGAAAATACCTGAATGCAATGCACACAGGGTAATTTGTTTACATATATGATGTGTGTATAGATTGATCTGTGGTATAAAATATTATTTTCATCAATGTTTCCTGATCAAAATGTTTGATGAACACTGTTCTAAACATCCAATCATTAGCTGAATTTCAACTCACCTTATTATACCAGGCAGAAACAATTAGTTTTTCTTCATAATCACGAAATTTTGCTACTTTACAGTCACTCTGGAAAAAGATATGAAGACTATTATAATCCCCCAAATAACCCCAAATTACTAAAAATAGTAATAACATTTCTTTGTATGCTCATTATTGAGAGAATTTGATGAATGTATTTTGAGGTATAAAAAACTGTCGAAATATAGACTCAATCATGGAGAAATGCACGTATAACTGCTTTATAAAGGAGTAAGATTGCGACTAGTAAATCTTTATTTCAGAAATTTTACTGGTAAAACAGGTATTAAAAAAACAAAAACAAAGCTCACAAAAACTAGTGATTCTTATGCTACTATCCTTTATATCTAGAAAAAAGTAACAACTGGTTTAGGTAACAAAACAGAGCTGCACCTATTTTGAAAAGTAAAAACTAAGAAGAAGGATGTAATAAAAAATATTCCAGAAAATCCTTTAAATCTCCTATAAAGCTTAGTGTGGGTTTTTATCTCTCAGTTCTTAATGACCTGTGTACTAGACTGCCTGTGGTCATAGTTACAAGCCACCTTAGTGACTGACATCCATTTCTTAATTACTCTAATACAACTACTTGTATTATTTTACTGAGTACCAGATATAGTTGATTCATTAAAAAAAATTATAACCTTAAAACATTTGAATGTTTTCACAGCAAGATGCTGATGACACAAAAAGCATACAGAAAATGAGGGAGGCAAGATGCCTTTCTTCTGGCTCACACCAGCTCCAGGCAAACACTCCCCAAGAAAGATGGCAGATAGAATAACTTCTGCTATTTACCTTATTCTTCTTTTTACTTCTTTCAGTGTACAGATAAATACACATAAATTAAAGGCCCAAATGCTGTGACTTAACTGTAGTTTTTCCTCAGAGCCCTAGAGGTAGAGGCACCACTCTGTCATCATACATGTTAGGGAGCTGCATTTCAAGCACCAACAATGCTGTCCATTCTCACTGGCTTTTGATGGGAAGTGAATAGTCAGAGCAACTTAGATTTCAGAGACTCAGTCCAAGTCTCGTTACTTGGACCAGAGAGGAAAGGTGATCACTTTTTTTAAAATTTTTTTTAGAGAGAGAGAGAAACATGGATGTGAGAGAAAAACATCGAATGGCTGCCTCCTGCACACCCCTTACAGGGATCAAGCTTTTAATCCAGGCATTGACTGCCCTGACTGGTAATCAAACCAGCAACCTTTAGGTGCATGGGATGACACCCAACTGAGCCACACTGACCAAGGAGAAAGATGATCACTTTAAGTTACTAATAAAGCTGACAACTTGGTTTCTCATTTATGTAATATTTAATGGTGGGAGTACAGAGATATAAGATACAGCCTCTCGCCTCAATTCACAGCCTTCTAGCCTAATTCAAAGAATGATACTGTGGAATGAATTCATGAGTTCACAGCACATGGACAAACTCTGGAGAGAGAATTAAGGGAACACATCTGAGTTGAATCCTCAAGAATGAATAGCATTTCTACAGAGAGATACCCGCTAACCAGTACTTTTTATAACAGCCAATATGGCCTGAACAGGAACTTATAGAAAGTACACATAAGACTGTTGTATATTCTGAGTATTCAAGTCTTTAAATCTTTAAACAAAATATTTTTACCACAGCCCTTATCTACTGGCTCAGAAATAACATGAAGAAAGTTATAAGTGAACATAAAATGTTTCTTTGAAATAAAGCATTCCTAATTGATTCAAATTATGAATTATGAGAATTTCAAGGTGAGTATATAGAATTCAACAGGGTTCTGCAATTATCCATATGTGATTATGAGGAAGTATACACTGACTTCAAGAATAACATCAAATCTTACCATAGTATTAAGAACAGTAGTTTTGTGAAGCACTTTGCAAAGTAGAACATGCCCAATATGAAAATCTAAGAATATACAATTTGATATTGACATACTTATACTTCACCCAGTTCATAAAAATAACATAACTGCTGATATAAAAATAACTCTAAAATTTAAAAATGTTACTACCATCATAACTTTGCATGGTCAGTAACAGACTGGCACTTTATTCAAGGGCTTCCTGGGATTTTGAAGTACTTCCTTCTCTCAGGAATTCCACCTAGTAAGTTTGTTTGGGTCCCCATGAGGATCAGGGAGAAGAGATAAGATAAATTTGGTGAACTGAATACAGTTCTCTACTTAAAGGTGAGCTTGGTTTCTTTCTTTCATTTCCTTTTTTTTTCTGAATGAACTCTCATCCACATAATTTTAAAAGGAGCATGATAGTGGAATCTATTAAAAACTTATGAGACATCCAGAGACTGGCTGTTAGGAGGGAGGGAGATACAATGCAGCAGGGAGCACAAACTGCAGAGACCAATATTGTGGGCCAGTGAGATGCTCTGCAATGACCATACAGTGCTAAAACAGAGTATTTCTAACTTCTTGCGAGACTTGATAATTAATGGCTAATATATGTCAATAGTTAATTATCAGGATTATACAGATTAATAAGAGGAAAGGTATGAATATGAAGTTTTACCTCCAGAATCTCAATTCTTCTCTCTTTCTCTGCCAACTGCTTTCTAAGCAGCATTATTTCAGCTGATGCTGGATTTAATTTAGGATCTAAAGTTTTTATAACCTGTTTAAAGAAAAAAAAAGTATGTTCACTTTATCTTATAAATTGTTGAAATATAAGAACACAGTCTACAAAATCAGTGTAAGTGGAAAATTATGCAGAAAGTGATCCAGCAACTAACTATAATTTGTCTCATAATTTAATTTGAATTACAAAATAACTTATTCTATAGGTGAGAAAGAGAATAAAAATTCAGTACAAAATGAAAAAATTCCCATCTCAAAATCAAATGTCCCTTCTCCAAGGCTCAATAATCAGGGATAGTTATTTGGCTGTATCAAACCTTGAGCACTGAAGTCTTGAAGCATATTAGAAATGAGGGAGGTAAGATGCCTTCTACTTTTATATGCCTTAAACATTTTTTAAAATGTTAAAATGAATTCAGTAATTATAGTGAAAACTGCTGACTGTACAAAGTAAGAGTAATACATACAAAAATTCTTAGCAACAATCTTTTTTACTATCTAGTTAAATGTACTAATTCAATACATAAGATCAATATAATAGATATTGGTGATTATTTTCTGCAAACACTGGGGTGCCAATCATATGAAATTACTAAAAGTTGAGTAAAACTCAGATGTTTTAGCACAATGTTGTTCTGAGACTTTGCTAAACTATGTATAAATCAATTTAGAAGCATCAGGAATAAATTACAGCAAAATCAAGTTGCCAGTAATAAAGTCACCTGTATATTGTAATTAAAAACCCATTAAAATATTTAAAATTATTTAATGAGTTAGGAAAATATTGTATGTAGTTACAGATGATAGAAAAAAAGAGTACAAAGATAATGTGCCTAATAATTTCTGCTGTTCATTCAAAATGATTTACTTAGTGCCAAAAGTGGCAGGCACAGTGACAGATGGGGGTACAGCAAGTTATGAGAGACTTGGTGCCTGCCCTCACGGGATTCACATCATACACACAACATACAGAGTTTAAATTATAATTTAATTACAAAGAAAAAAATCATAATCTGTTAACTCTAGTGATAAAAAGTATGCTTGTGACTTTTCTATATTTCTGAATTTTCTATAATGGACATATGTTACTATTTTAAACTCTCCCCCAAATAGTATAAGAGGGGAAAAAAATCATGTTTACCAAACAAGTATCATTTTTTTTAATGTGAATATTCAATGATGGCAAGAATATGGTATTTTGCCATTGCTCTGTTCAATTAATTATAGTCCTTTTAGAGTATCATTTAGAAATACAGAAAAAGCATCTTATTAAGAAGTTCTTAACCTTTGACCCAATAATTCTATTTCACCCATTAACCTAGGAACAAGGTTATGATAAACCAAAATAAGTCACAAGCTTTCTGAATAACTATGTTGCCTATAGCCTTATTTCTAGGAACAAAAAAAGAAAAAAGAATGGAAACAAGCTATTTTCAACAATAGGATGACAACTAAATAACTGTGATATATTATACAACTGAATATTATGTCACCATTCTTTTACTTTTGCCAAGTCTGTTCTGTAAGTGTGATATCTGTCTTGCTTAGTGCTGTACGACCACGGCTTAGCATAAGAGACACTCAATAAAAATCCAATTACATTTATATTCCATGAGGAAATTCTTTTAAGTTTAAAAAACACACAAATCATATATGTGTATATTATGGTAAAGAAACATAGAGAAATATCCATTGAAAAATATACAGTGTTAAGGTAGTATTTCAAAGGTTAACAGCAGTTGTATCTGGGAACCTTTCTATGCTTTATATTTTTACTAAAGACACTTACACTTCTGAAACAGAGAAACTGAACTGTGGCATGGACTACCTCCTGAGAAGCTGAGTGTGGCTATGTACCTGAGCTCTGCCCACTGAGGGGAGTGAAAGTGGTTTACACGGTTTCCAGGTCTGACCCCATGACCTACCTCCCACACAAGCTATGCTCACTCCCTCATCCACTAGTTGGAGAATGTCAAGTGAACTTGGGAACTGTATGTTGAAGAAGGTGGTGCCTCTCTCACTTTAAGACTGAATGACTGCATGGAGCAGAGTGCTTCCCCCACTGATGACTAGATTTCATGTAACATCCATCTTGCTAAGCTTTAAGAAGAGCTTGCAGTTTATCTGCTACTGCAGATACTATTTACACCTTAATGAATATTATATAAAACATTAAAAGGGCAGACATTAGCAATATTATAAAACTTCATCACAAAATTCTTTTTTTCATTCAGTAAATTGAAAACAATACATTGACATTTTGTGAAAGAACACTTATAATTGGGAAAATATATGGTATTCATGAAAATAAAAGATTTTATAAGAATATCACTTACAGATATTTAGTAAAGAATATAAATAAAAAGAATAATTAGTGTGGTGAACACTAGAACAGTATATAACTGACTAAGCTAGACTAAATGCTAAAATACTTTCAAACAAATTTAAAAAGCTAAATTTTCACAAAAGGCAAACATGCCTTCATTTTAAAGCTAACAATGCCGTATATCATAGTGGTCATTTTCTCTAAAGAGGTCACTGCTGTCCATGCTTAACTGTTTCTGTAAGCCATGTGGTCGTTTTACCTGAGGCTGATGAGTGAGAGAGAATGGGAGTACTGACCTAGGGAAGACAGAGAGTGGGTACAATCAGGTGGAACAGGCCTACTTAGCACCTGCGTCACAGAGATGGGAGCTCTGTAAGACAGATGACTCACATTTCTTGCTTTCTCTAAATACATTTTATATCGTTCCTCCATTGCTTTCATATCTTCATCTTTCTTCTGAAGAGCAGCTTCAAGTTCATTGATCTTTTGTGCTATTGTTGAAAATGAAAACAACCAATTACTCCCTGTTTAAAATATTCCATCCTCACACACAAAAATATACATTTATCACATTTATTTTCTAGGGACTCATAAAATAACTTAAAAGAGAAACCTTTTATTTATTGTTTGTAATGAATTTTTATCTAAAACTTTTGAATTGCAACCAATACATCCCTGATCATTTCATATTATTTTTGTCTTAAAAATACCTATAATCTGCTTTATTTAGCTATTTCTCTTCTTTCAATTAATTGTTTCAATGAGCAAACATACCGTACAATTTAAGCACAGCCATCGTGAGAAAAACATTCTTTTATACAATGTTTGAAGTTCATTTTAATCTGATTTTAAATCCTTTCATTTATTTATATTTTCATAGTATCAATGCTATATTACAAAATGTTTGATACTCCTATATATCATAAGTTCATTTTATTAGACTTACTTTTTTGCATCAACATTAGATCATTTATTACTTAAATCACTAAAAATTATAATAGCACTTATTTGCAATGTATCTATACTTTGTCCAAAAACTTATACATAATTCTTGTAATTTGTCAACTAAAAAGGGCAAGTCCTTAGAACCAGCTTTTTACAAATACCTACCATTCTGGTTTACATCTGGCTGAAGATCTTCAATGAGCTCTTGTTTCTTCTGTAATTCTTCATGTACCTCTGTTAGTTTTTCCCTAAGCAGTAGAAAGAAGAGCAAGGAGCTTTGGAGCCAAACAGATTTAAGAATGAAAACTGGTTTTCTGCCACATAACATTCGTGGACTGTGGGCTCGTCACTTTCTGATCCTTACTCTCCTCACCTATGAAATGGGAATAATATCTGCCAAATATTATGGGGATTGTTGTGAAGAGGTAAATTGGTTGGCACATGATGGGTGCTAAAAATGTGCAATATTCCCCCTACAACCTTTGCTTCCTAAGAAAGTTAAAAGAAGTATTTTATAGGATAAACATCCCTCATTTCCACATAATCTACTGCCGATATTGCCAGTTCTGTAAACTCTTCAATGGCATTAGTAAATGAAAAATGAGAGCATTGGGATCACTGGCAGGCAGGTTGAGCCTTCTAGCACATTTTTCTTTTCACTTTTTAATGGCAGTGGTGAACATTAAATTGGCATCAGGGTATTTGTTTTCATAAAACAAAATCAGAAAAGGGTATTAACTTTAGATCCTTTTAAAACCCTTCCCCTCACATATTTGAAATGAAATACCAATTTTACTTACATATGAGCTTCCAACTTCTGCTTTAGGTTGCTGGACTATAAAAATTAAAAACAGTTGCTGTAAGATAACTATTGTGGCAACAATAAATTTTCCAGACGTCAGAATCACTTTATCTCCTCTTGAAGGAGATATATTATTTAAAATATAAATATACTAAAAATTTGTATTTTTAATAATAAACTTTTAAAAACATAAAATTTAGGTATTTTTCACCTCAAAGGGAAAGAAGAATAGGAAATGAAATAAGAATACAATAGTAGAAAGAAAATGCTTCATATTTCTGAATATAATGCAAATACAATTTGAACTTGAAAAATAGAAAATGCAAGCTGAACGTGATATATGGAGGAGTATCAAACACTGAAATGGCTACAGAATCATTTATCCTATATAATAAAAGGCTAATATGCAAATTAACCAAATGGCAGAACGACCGGTTGCTATGACACACACTGACCACCAGGGAGCAGACACTCAATGCAGGAGCTGCCCCCTGGTGGTCAGTGCACTCCCACAGGGGGAGCGCCACTCAGCCAGAAGCTGGGCTCATGGCTAGCAAGCACAGCGGCGGTGGTGGGAGCCTCTCCCACCTCCGCAGCAGGGCTAAGCCATCAGTTGGACATCCCCCAAGGGCTCCTGGACTGCGAGAGGGTGTAGACAGGGCTGAGAGACCACCCCCTTTAAGTGCACGAATCTTGTGCACCAAGCCTCTAGTTTAAAATAAAATGTTTAAGATTTTAGGCCTTTAATGAAGAATGGACTGAAATAACTAACTTATCTTTATAATAAACCTTTATCATTATAAATGCAAACACTTTAATATTAATATAAAAATGAAGTCATTAGATTTTGTTAAAAAATCAAATTCAAAACATAAAATTTCCTCTTTAAAAAAAACACAGAAATGTAAATTGCAATAGTAGTTCTGTATCACCTACTAAATAGCTGTAGAGCTTAAAAATATATAATTTGAGCCCTGGTCAGTGTGGTTCAGAGGTTAGAGCATCGGCCTGTGGACCAAAGGGCCACAGGCCTGATTCCTAGTCAAGGGCATGTACCTAGATTTATAGTTTGTTCCCCAGCCCAGGTCAGGATGCATGTAGGAGGCAACTAATCAACGTGTCTCTCTCACATGATGTTTCTCTCTCTTCCCCCCCATCCCCAACTCATTTTCCTCCCTTCCTCCCACTCTCTCTGAAAATCAATGGAAAAAAATATCCTTGAAATATAATTTGGACACTAACACTATTTTTTAAAAGATAAAGAAATTTAAAATCTTAATCCAATATGTACTCCCCCAAATAGATCCAATTTTTCAATTATTCCCTAATGTGCCTTAAAATATATTTGTATTAGAGAGGTTACAATACCGTATATATGCACATATGAGATGCCGCCATGCATGAGACGATTTCTATTTTCCAAGCCCCCAGGAAAAAAAGAAAAAATCATATAAAGCATAAAAAAGACAGAAAGGAAATGTAACCCTTTCAATTTTCCTTTTCATCTCTTTATTCTTCTGAGTTTTCTCCCTCCTGCCCGCCCCCCAACAACACAGGTAGAATCACCTAACACTCCATCTAATCAATGTCTACCTAACACACAATTAGCCCTATCTTCTTGCTGTTTAGTTAAATACATCCCTCCCTCAATTATTACTTCTTTCTTTTTTCCCCTCTATACATAGAGATCCAACTATAGGAACACTGCTAAGTATATTTAGGCTGTTTGATCCTTTTTTAAAAAAAATGATTTGAGAGAGAGGAAGGGAGAGGAGAGGGAGAGAAAGTTAGAAATATCAATGATGAAAGAGAATCATTGATCAGCTGCCTCCTGCACACCCCCCAATCGGATGGAGACTGCAACCCAGGCATGTGCCATGACCAGAAATCTAACCATGACCTCCTGGTTCATGGGTAAATGCTCAACCACTGAGACACACCAGCCACGCTGTTTGATCTTTTTTAAGTTCTTTTTTTAAGTTCTCTTATTTCTGCTCTCAAATATATGCTATCAAAATCCATTAGAAATGGCAAGGTCATGAGCTAGAATGGAAGGGGCAATGTCTTCAAGAATGCATTAAGGTTTCTGTCCTTTTGAGGTCTGTTCTTTTGGTAGAAATCATTTTCTCATTCTTCTTTTTCTTATTAAAAGTTTTCCTCAATTCTAGCTGATGCTTACTCTCACTAGAGTTTGTCTCAGGCCAGCCCTGTTGGGTTCCCAGCAGAACTGGGAAAGCCTCAACTGCAGCAGGTCTCAGTCAGGAATTGCTATGAACATAGTATTAGCTGTTGAAGTAGGACAGTTAGAAATCACCTTCCAATACAAATGATCAATTTACAGGTTCCAAATTGGCAAAATCACTGCATCTGTTATGCAAATATATACGGTATTTAAGGGTGTCATCAATGATAAGGTTAGCACTTTCAAATACAAGGTTAATTTGGGCATCAGGACCTAACAGAGAGGCCAAAGAGCAGAATCACCATAATTTTTCAGGTACTTACACTTTCTCCTTCAGACTTGGAGCCTTGTTCCTGTAAAGACTTCTGGAGATCTTCAATCTGCTGCTGCAATTCTTGGATGCGCTCTTTGCTCAGCCTATTTTAAGATGAATCATATGGGTTTATTTGTATTGAAAGTCAAAGTAGTTAAGGATCTAAAGAGGTGCATTTATGCAATGCAACTTAAACTATGTATTTACTAGCAATAACAGATGCTGAACAATGTTCTGTGGTGAGGTATAATATACAGTATATAGGAGGCTACTTTCAAGGAAATATTTAATAAAAGATGACATTTTTATCCTGCAAGCATATTTACCCACATTTAAAATTTTAAGGTACTTTATGTGTCAGTAGTAAAAATACAACATTTCTACACTGTACTTACCGGAATAAAAATTAGAAAACTAGCTTGCTTTTCCTACAGTTGCATTTTTAATGAATGGAAACTAGGTTTCCTTTTCCTATTTCAGATTTCACAGTGTACTAAAAGAGGAAGGTCACTATTTTCCAATCATTTATTCATGACTTGTTATTTAAATTAAAGAGATTGGCACTACCAACTAATGTATATTTTTTTACTTGCCATAATCTCATTTCTTGAAAACCTGCTTTAGAGTTACCATAGTTGGAAGTTACCAGAAAGAGGAGTATCTGTCTGACTTTCTTCACATAGTTATCGCATAATATAATAATTATCTATTGATACATCTAGCTTCCTATATTAATTCTCTAAAAGCTAAAAATTAGTATCTCCAGTTTCAATTGATATTAAACTGTGTCAGTAATATTTAATGGTCTCTTCAGAAAGCCAAAATGCATTCTTCATTTTACCACAGCTGATGTAATGTGTGCATACAAGTATGAGAGACAAGGTTAAAGTGTCTCAGATTCCTGTGGTTTCTAAAATCCAGTGGAGGTTGGTCAAGTACATTTAAAAACCTTCACTCCAAATATACTATTTATAAAGGGAAGATTAATATAGTGGTTAAAAGCACAGACTCAGGAATCAGATTGACAGAGGGTCAATGTAGGATCCACAATTACCAGCTGTGTAACTCTGGGCAAGCTGCTTAATCTCCTTGTAGTTCACTTCCTTACCCATAAAACAGTGGTAATCATACCTATTACTTCATAAAGTTATTATGAGGATTTACTAAGTTAATACCAAAATGTGCTTAGAAATGTGCCTGGCATATAGTAACCACTATATTAAATGTCATACCTACATATATAAAAGCCAAGCGACCGGAACAGCAGAACAACTGGCACTATGATGAGCACTGTGGCAGCCAACCAGCCCAATGGGGGCCCCAATCGGCCCCCCAAACCTCCTGTGGCCCCTCTCCCGACTGGCACCCCCAACCCCGATCAGGGGTGGGGCCGGCCAGCCTACTACCCGCAGCCCACTCCTGGCCGGCCTTGCCCTGATTGCCTCCCCACAACCCTGATCAGGGGCAGGGCCGACGGCCAACCTCCTGCTGGCCTGGCCCTGATCGGGCCCCCATCAGGGCGGGCCAGCCGGACCCCACCCATGCACAAATTCGTATACCGGGCCTCTAGCTTTTTTTAATAATATAATATTTGAACACCTCTCATTGGTATTATATAAGTAAACCATTTCTGTAATCCTCATAACTTGCAAATGGGTATCACCTCCAAGATACCAAGTGTGTATTTAAGTAACTTGCTCAGAACCAAATAATTAACAAGTTTAAAAAGAAGTGGGATTCAAATTTGACAACACAATCTATGCCCATCTCTGCACCAGACTGCAGTAGAAAGCCAGGTTGTCATCTATTCATCTGTTATATTTTCTCTAAATTGTGAAGACATGCAAACAAAATTCAAGGATAAGCAACCTGGTTAACAGAGTTTGCTAAAAGTAAATGGTAGTGAGAGACTAAAAACAACAACAAAAATTTATCTTCTAAAAATCCTAATTAGCCCTAGCCAGTTTGGCTCAGTGGATAGAGCATCGGCCTACAGACTGAAGGGTCCTGGGTTCGATTCTGGTCAAGGGTACATGCCTGGGCTGTGGGCTTGATCCCCAGTAGGGGGCATGCAGGAGGCAGCCGATCAATGATTCTCTCTCATCATTGATGTTTCTATCTCTCTCTCTCCCTTCCTCTCTGAAATCAATAAAAATATATTTTAAAAAAATCCTAATTATGTGAACTACAGTGATATTTTCCACTTCTGTGAACCACAATTTTGTGGTTGGTAATTAAATCACCGTGACTTATTCACAGTGAAGGAGCATGTCACCTTTGCTCTGTTTCCAGTTCGTTCATCTTGCGGTGCTTCTGCTCTAGCTGCTCCTGTAGTTCTTCAATGCGTTGGTTCTCAGTACCTTCCTGCTGCAGGCGAAGCATCTTATTTTCATGTTGCAGTCGAATAAACACCTCCCTAATGTTGACAAGTATAATTTGTTTTTCAATTGTTTCACTGAGGCCCCCACTCCAAGTGCACAAATTGTTTTAATTGTTTAAAAATTGTTTTATAAGAAGTTTTACATTCTTAACTTTCTAAAAAGGGAAATGCCTGGCAACTCAATAGCTGTCATTTTAAAATTTTACCAAAGCTTCTGAAAGGTTTTAAAGAAAAAACTATGTACATTTTAAGACTATGTCTCAAAAACAATTAGTAAATATTTTAAAGGTAAAGATGTAAGATTATGCTACATATTGTTAAATGACTATGCAAATTCCTGAAATACTTTGTATTATTTTAATTTTACAATTTAGAAACTATTTACCAAAGCTAATATAGAGCATATTCTTAAAGAACACGTAAAGGAAAAGTAATAGATTTAAGAAACCACAGTTGGTACACAATTTTTAAATACACTTTTATGATAATTGCAGTCATATGACTATCTCTAGATATTTTTGTTTTAGAGAAAAAAATTATTAAAGACTTACATACACATGGTTTTTAAATACAAATGATAGAAATTATCCTATATAATAAAAGGCTAATATGCAAATTGTCCCCTCGGGAGTTTGACCACTCGCTATGACGTGTGCTGACCACCAGGGGGCAGCATGGAATGAAGGAAGGCCCCATCCGGCAGTCTGGGAAAGGAAGGCCCTGGCCAGCAGCCGGCAGCCTAGGGAAGGAAATCCCCGATGGGTTCTGATCAACAGCCAGGCCTAGGGACCCTACCCATGCATGAATTTCATGCACCAGGCCTCTAGTCCTATATAATAAAAGGGTAATATGCAAATTGATCGTAACAGCAGAACATTTGGGAAAGACTGGTCACTATGACACTCACTGACCACCAGGGGGCAGATGTTCAATGCAGGAGGTACCCCCTGGTGGTCAGTGCGCTCCCACAGCGGGAGCTCTGCTCAGCCACAAGCTAGGCTGATGGCTGTCAGCACAGCGGTGGTGGCGGGAGCCTCTCCTGCCTCCTCAGCAGCACTAAGGATGTCCAACTGCAGCTTAGACCTGCTCCCCTCTGGCAAGTGGACATCCCCCTAGGGCTCCCGGGCTGCCAGAGGAATGTCTGACTGCCAGCTTAGGCCTGATCCCCCAGGGAGTGGGCCTAAACTAGCAGGTTGACATCCCCGAGGGGTTCCAGGCTGCAAGAGGGCACCGGCAGGGCTCAAAGTGCACTCCAAGTGCACAAATTTTTGTGCACCGGGCCTCTAGTATTAAATAAAAAAGTAACTATCAACAATAAAAATATATTTAAAAATGAAAATAATGCAGGCATACCTGCTCCCCTCCTAAGTCCCATTCCCCAAAAGCAACCACTATCAATCTCAATTTTTAGTCTTCTGAATGCTAGCACTATAACCTTAAAAAATAGGCTCATATGGCCATTTAAAAAATATTAATAATATCACTAGATATTGACTAAAAAGTACAAATGGTTTCCTGTCTAGCATGACCAAAAACTGAAATAAAAATCAACAACATTGTAAACATTATGCTTAGTGAAAGAAGCCAGTCACAAAAGGCCACATATTGTATGATTCCATGTATATAAAATATCCATTACAGGCAAATTGAGAGACAAAAGTAGATAACTGGTTGCCTGAGGATGGACGTAGAGAAGAGGCAGGAGTGGGGAATAATTGCTATTTATATAAAGGTATATTTTGGAGGAATAAAAATGTTCTGAAATTTTACAGCAATAATTGTTGCACAGTGTGTGACTATTTTGAAACCCACCAAATTCTACACTTTTAAATAGGTGAATCTCAATAAAGCCATTTAAATAGAGTTTGCAGTACTGAACAAATACAGCTGTCATCAAAGAAAGGACAAGCATAAAAATGCCAGATTAGTCAAATGTCTAAGTAAACATAGCACTAAAATCCCAAGATAAAAGATGGGTCAAGAGGAACCTCTAAAATTTGTAATTTAACTTCTGCTTAATCCTCCTTCTATTATTGGCAGCTCCTCTCCTTTTCTTTTTACCACCTGGATTTGAATGCCATGTATTAAGATTTTTCGTAGAGTTTGAAAGAATAAAGAAAAAAAGTTCAACACAATAAAGGTCATGCTATAAAAACTAGAATAAGTGAGTTAGTTTGTGAAATTTTACTTATGATAAATTTGAAACTGGTATAGTAGCAATAACAAGCTGACTTAGAAAGCTTAAGCAGCGCTGGTTGGTACTGCTCAATGGATAGAGTGGTGGCCCAAGCACCAAAGGGTCAAGGGTTCAATTCTCAGTCAAGGGCATATACCTGCATTGCAGGTTCAATCTGTACCTGGTTGGGGTACTGCGTGCAGGAGGCAACCAATAGATGTTTGTATCTGTCTTCCGTCCTTCCCTTCCTTCTCTTCCCTCCATCCCTCCCTCCCTCTCTAAAAACCAATGGGAAAAATATTCTTGGATGAGGACTAACAACGAAAAGACATCATATTTCTAATATTAAGTATAGATTATCAATTAATAAAAACAAATTTACCTATATTCCACTGGCATAATCTCAGCAGCAAGATTCTCATAAGTTTTTGCAGCAGATGCATCTAAATAACAACAAAATAGAGGAATAATTCAGTATTTCTACCATTAAAAAAAAAAACGCGTTTCTAAATTCAACAAAATTTACCTGTTTGGTTTAGGTGATCCTGTTGTACTTGTGAACACCGAAGCTCTTCATTCGTTTCTTTCAGGGTATCACGCTGTTCTATTAGTCTCTAAAAAAAATTGTTCATATAAACAAAATTTTTAATTATGCCCACAGGTGGTATACTTTATACTTACAATAATTTAATTTGATAATTATTGCTTATTTAATTAAAAATGGCAATGTTTTAGTTTTAGTTTTAGTGCTGAGGGGTAATTTTCTCTTGTATAAATCACATAACTATATAGTTTTTGTATAACCCAAAGCTTATGATCTCCCTATTAGTTTGTCTCTGAACCAAATGAATGTAATTATGCAACACAGTAAAAATATACAACTGCAGAGTAATAAAAAAAGCATGGAGTTTGGAGGCAAATAGACTGTGGCTTGAATTCCAGTTTCACTCCTTCCTAGCTATATTATCTGGGGCAAGAGATGTGACTCTCTGGTTTTAGTATCCTCATCATCAAAACAGGAATACTGACATATACAAACCCTTGCAAAGGTGTTTTGAGCAACCAATAAGATAATGTTTATCAAGTACATGAAATATAGTTTTATGTGTACAAGATGCTGGAGAATTGTTATTTCTTTTTATCACTGGAGTGAAACTCTACTGAAAAAGTGATAAGTAGCATCCTGGAAGTATGAATTTGTGGCTTAATATCTAAAAATCATTGCAATTACTAACCACACTACTAAGTAACCACATTAATACAATAAAAGACAAAAATCACATATCTCAATGAACCAGAAAATGCAAGAATATGCAACAAACTAGGAATAAAGACTAGTCAACTCCATAAATGCTATCTACAAAACAAAACAACAGAAATAAAAAATCATGGCTAAAATGTGCTTAATGGTGAAAGAATGAATGCTTTCTCCTAATATTAGAACCAAAAGAATGATGGCCGCTCTTGACACGTCTATTCAACATAATACTCAAGGTTCTGGTCAGGACAATTTGACAAGAAAAAGAAAAAGGCATTCAAACTGCAAAGCAAAAAACAAAACTATTCCTCTTTGTAGATGTCCTAATCTTGTATCTAGAAAATCCTAGAGAACCCAGTAAAAACTATTAGAAATACAAAGTGAATTCCACAAAATTGCAAAATGCAATATCAATGTACAATAATAAGTTGTATTTCTGTATATTAGCAATAAAAATGAAAAAGAAAATAATTTCATTCATAATAGCAACAAAAATAACAAAACACTCAGAATAAAAATTTAAAAAGTCCAAATCTTATATAATAAAAACTATAAAACATTGTTGAAAGAAGCTAAAAACCAAAATAAATAGAATGTGATCCAACATTTAAGGATGAGAAACTTAATACCATTAAGGTGGCAATGTTTCCAAACTGATCTACAGATTCAGACAATTCCATCTTTAAAAAGAACTTGGAGAGCTCATACTTGCCAATTTTAAAACTTAGTGGTACTAGCATCAAGCTAGACATATAATCAGTGACAAATAACTGAAAGTCCAGAAATAAACTCTTACATTTATGGTTAAAATTATTTTTACTTTTAATAATCAATCAATAGCTATTAATTTTGTCCCCCAAAATTGAGTAGATAGTACATTCCCTCTTCTCCCACCTCTCCCACTCCTATGCTGCCTAGTTTCCCTCATTAGCATCTTGCATTAGTATAGTTACTTGTAAGAAAAATGAACCAATATTGATACACTATTACTACTAACTAATGATGACAGTTTACATTAGGTTTAACGCTGCTTTACTTTTATGAGTTTTGACAAATGTACTAGTATAACATATCCATCATTACAGTCTCATGGCCAATTCATTTTTTAAAAAATATATTTTATTGATTTTTTTATAGAGAGAAAGGGAAAGGGAGAGGGATAGAGAGTTTGAAACATCGATGAGAGGAACATTGATCAGCTGACTCCTGCACACCCCCCACTGGGGATGTGCCTGCAACCAAGGTACATGCCCGTGACGAGAATTGAACCTGGGACCCTTGAGTCCGCAGGATGACGCTCTATCCACTGAGCCAAACCGGTCAGGGCTCCAATTCATTTTTAACATCGGTACCAAAACAATACAGTGGAGGAAAGAACAGTCTTATCAACAAATCGTGCTAGGACACTTACACCATATCCAAAAATTAACTAAAAATTGATCAGACTAAATATAAAACCAATAAATATAAATATAAAAGAAAACACAGGAGTAAATGTTTATATCCTCAAATTACTCAATGCTTTCACAGAAACACTACCCACAAAAGCACATGTAACAAGAGGAAAAAAAAGATAATTGTGACTTCATCAAATAAAAATTATTCTGTAAACAGTAACATCAAAGAAAGTGAGAAGATAATGCACAGACTAACAGAAAAATATTTTTAAGTCATATATCTGAGAAGGATATGTATCTAGAATATAAAAAGAAGTTTAAAAATCAATAATTAAAAAGCAATTAATGTACATCAAAATGAGCAAAAAATTTGAAGAGACATTTCTCCAAGGGAGATATTCAAATGGCCAATAAGCACATGAAAAGATGCACAATAGCATTAGTTATTAGGAACCTACAGATCAAAACCACGATGACATACCACTTCATACCTAGGAGGATAATTAAAACTAAAAATAGTAAGTATTGGTAAGGATGTGTAGAAACTGGAACCTTCAAAAACTGCTGGTGGGAGGAAAAAATGGTTCATACACTTTAGAAAACAGTCTAGTTCTTTAAACAGTTAAACTTAGTTATCACATGACCAAGCAATACCATTCCATACTCAAAAAATGATACGCCCAAATAAAAAACTTGTATATAAATGTTCATGGCCACATTATCTGTTTAACAATGAAAAAGTAGAAATGGCCCAAAAGTCCATAAACTGATGAACAGATAAATAAAGTGTGGTATATCCATACAATGGAGTATTACTCAGCAGTAAAAATGAAGCACTGATACATACTACCACATGGATGAACCTTGAAAGCATTATACTAACTATGGAACCAAGTCACAAGACCACCAAGTGTATGATTACATATTCTGGATAGACTAGACCAGTGGTTCTCAACCTTCCTAATGCTGCGACCCTTTAATACAGTTCCTTATGTTGTGGGGACCCCCAATTTCATTGTTACAAATTGAACATAATTAAAGCATAGCGATTCATCACAAAAACAATATGTAATTATACATGTGTTTTCCTATGGTCTTAGGCGACCCTGTGAAAGGGTCGTTCGACCCCCAAAGGGGTCGCAACCCACAGGTTGAGAAAAGCTGGACTAGACAAATCTATAGAGACAGATTACTGATTGCAACAGCTGGGGAGAGGGCCTAAGCTGTCAGTCAGACATCCACCAAGGGCTCCCGGATTATCAAATGACACAGGCTGGGCTGAGGGACCCCCCGAGTGTACAAATTTCGTGCACCAGGCTTCTAGTATCTTAATAAAGCTGCTAAAAACTGCATCTATGGTCCTCATTTTCAAGGAGTTGATAGTCCTGAGTTGAAAAACATTAAACCAAGACGTATGACCTTGGCTCTGTCACTTGATTTTCCCTTGTGAAGGAAACTATCAAAACTGCACGAAGAATTTTTACAAGACTTTCTTTTACACCAACAACTTCAATTTGAAGAAAGACAGAAGAATTGGTTGATATCACTTCTATTCTTAGAACAGCGGGATCACATTAAAATCTAAAAGCAAACAGACATTTTACTTATCAATTATAGTGACGTTTACCTCTTTTTCCTTAAGTAAAGCTTCATGTTTTTCTTCAAGTCGCTTCATTTCAAATGCTAGTGTGTCAGCCCTTTTGGATTCAGAGGAAAGTTTACTGTGTAGATCCTGAACCTTTTGTCAGAAACAAAAGTAAAACACAAGAATATATGATAATGATCATTTGATTTCAGAGCTCAATAAATGAAAAACTGATTGTAAATAAAATTATAGCAAGACTACAATCTAAGTCTAAACATTTGTGGAAATAGCATGTAGATAAGAAGATTTAAAATAAATTTTAAAACACCCAAGTAACAAGTTAGACAAAATACACAATCAGCCTTTTATTGTTTCCATAGGGTGGATGATAAATAACAACAGAATATTTTGGGTTATAGTCCCATTATCTAGGCTTTTATCACTGGTTACCAAAAATCTTAAAAAAAATAAACTATCCAAAAATATATATATATATATGCTCAGATCCAATAAAATGTAGAAGACCTAGATAACTCACACTCAATGATCAACCCCTGAACTGAAATTATACATAGAAGAAATTTATCATAAGTTCATAGTTTACTATAGGCAATGTTTCTTCACTTCTGTGCAAATGGAATAACCAAGTTGAGGTCTTTATATTTTAATGATTAAAAAAATTATTTTCTTACCTGTCTCTTGTATGTTTCTAATTGTGTACGTGCTGCATTTGCCTTCTTTAATTCTTCTTCTAAACTGACTGTATTGTGCATATACATCATGTTTGTTTCCTGCAACGTTTTCACCTGCTTCCGAAGGTCATTCAGATCTTGTAGCTTCTGACGATATATCTCAACTGTGGACTCCAACTTATTTGCTTTATCAGAGGTAGCCCTATAATAATAAAGACAAAACAATACTGTGTCAAAACTAGCAATGCACATCATTTTCTTCTGGCTGAAAAATTAGTCTTTCAAATAAACTCTCAATTGGCAAAAAAAAAAAAAAAAAGGAAAGAAACAAAGAGAGACAGAATAATAAACTTTGTGAGAACTCTGGAACTGGACTCAGGCATAACACTGTCTATAATTCAGCCTGTTTGTTACAAAGGCTTTTTTTAAAAAGGCTTCAAATTTGACACACTAAATAAAACTGTTTCAAGAACTAGCATGCTGTATAAAAAGAATGGGTTTGTAAATATAATTGAATAATTCTGAGCTACTCTGTAGATTATGGACCAATTGTGCTTTGTGCATAAATAACATTTAATATAGTTTTATTTCAAGTAACTGATATGCATTGGAGGTTAATTCAACTTATACTTTGTCTCATAAAGCATTTCCCTTTAGACTTGTGCTTACCTGACCAATTGAGCCAGAACAAAAATAAACAAACAAACCAAATTAATTCACCCTCAGGTGCAGGTTCAAATAACTAGTTATACAGATTTTGTTTCAAATAGACATTAAAAACTGTGCATCAAAATGGCTAATTAAGAAAATGTAACAGAAAATATAAATAGCACGTGGATAGTCTATTTATTTAGGCAACATTTTATAGGCCAAAGGTAAATATAAATTTTATATTTTCAAATACAATTAAGAGAACCCGGGGGTGATCCTGAAATAAATGTTAGTATTCTTATCTGTATTTATCTATTTATTTTAGCAAATACCAAAATGTGGATTGTGACAGTGTGCATTTCCTTACATAAAAATTCGACAGGATAAACTAATGAGTAGATAGAGGTCAAGATAAATGTACCTGAAAGTAACTCAGCTTTTAAGAAAAACAAACTATTAAGGAACTTTTAAGAAAAAAAGTTATCATTTTGTTTAGGCTTATCAGTTCTAATATAAAATAGTCCTAAGAAGAATTGAGTATTATTTTTAAGTTGCAATTATCACCAATAAGCCTTAAAGAAGAGTAGGAGTTTGGATAAAAATTGATTAATACTCCATGTAGGGGTAACTGAGAATCACTGATTAAAATATGGAATACTGAAATGAGTAAGTAAGGACTTAGAAGTGACAATCCTACTTAGGCATGCCATACCTAAGAACATCAATTTCATCTTTCAGGGCTCTTGTTTCCTCAGCAAGACTAGTCAATTCATCATTCCTATGCTGAAATTCAATTAATTGCTTTTCAAGTTCTTCACAGTGAACACGGTAATCATCTTTTGCAGCTTCAAGCCTTGCATAAAGAAAACAAATTAGATATTAATAATTCAATTTCCATCATTTACTTTCTCACTGAGACTTGAGGTTAATAAGACTTACTTCTATATTATTTTAAATCCCACATTCAAAGAAGAAAGACTAAAGAAATAAGATACTTTGGAGTACTTGCTTTTCAAATAGACTTGAGAAGTAAATAATGTTCTGAATTTTCATTTTCACTTCTGAAACATTGTGTTTGGTTATCTCTAGTCCAAACAGGAATTTAATTTCAAAAGGTGAAGAGAATGCATAGATATATATTAAAATTATTCAAAAATATAGCATATAAAGTAGCAAAATATTAACTCTTTGTAGACTGGGATAAATTAACGATTAATACTCAAGCCCTACTGCAACAACAAAAACTGAAGTGACAATACAGTGATTAAAATCAAATATTAAAAAATTAGTCGATCAATCCCAAAAAATGCAGCAAAGGAAGAAAAAACAAAAGAATAGATATGAAAAATAAAAATGGCATGTTGACAAACAGACCTAAATACAACCATATCAAAAATTACATGGAAGCAAAAGGACTAAATGCATCAATCCTAATTACAAGAGACATATTAAACATAAAGACACAATTAAATTTAAAAAGATAAAAAAAATATCATGCAAACAGTAAGAGAAAGCTGGGGTGATTATGTTACTAGAAACAATAAATTTTAAGACAAAAGGTATTACCAAAGGTAAAGAAATATTTCATAATTATAAAAGGCTTAATTTAGCAGAAGGTATATAAACGTATATATACCTAAAAACAGTTTTAACGTACATGAAGCAAAACTGACAAAATCAAAATTAGAAAACCACAAATCCATAATCATTGTTGAAAATTTTAAACACCAGTCTCCTAATAAATGATAGAACTAAAGAAAAATATCAGTAAAAATATATAAGAGATCTGGATAACACTATTAACTAGCTTGATTTAACTGACATTTATAAAACGTATGTCAAAAACTACAGAACACACATTATTTGCAAGTACACATGGAATACTGACCACACTAAAACATATGATGAGCAATAAAAAAGGATCAGAAATACCAGAAGGTTGAAATCTCATGGAATATGTTCTCTAATGACAAAGAAATTAAATTAAAAACCAGTCACAATAAGAAACCTAGGCCCAGCCAGCATGGCTCAGTGGTTGAGTGTCGACCTATAAACCAGGAGATCACGGTTCAATTCTTGGTCAAGGCATATATGCCCGAGTTGCAGTGTACTGGGAGCAGCCGATGCAGGAGGCAGCCGATCCTTGATTCTCTCTCATCATTGATGTTTCTATCTCCCTCTCCCTCTCTCTCTCCCTTCCTCTCTGAAATCAATAAAAATATAAAAAATAAAAGAAAATGGATAAACGAAGTGTGATATAATGCGGAATAATTCCATATCTACACTAAGACAAAGATGCTAATTGACCGTACCTTTGCTATGCCCTAAGCCACACCCACCAGCCAATCAGAGAGACTATATGCAAATTAACCCAACCAAGATGGTGGATGGCAGCCACAGAGCTGGAGCCCAGGCGATGGAGGAAGCCAAGCTTCCTGCCTGCCGCCTACCTGAGCCGGCTGTGGCTTCAGCTCATGGCAACAAAGTTTCAATTATAGAAGACAAAAAAATCCCAGATATCTACTTCCAGCCAGCCTCCACTGGGAGCTTGGGTGGCTGGGGGTTGTGGCCAGCCTGCAAACAGCCATCAGCCCCTAACCCAGGCTGGACACCCCCCTGGTGGTCAGTGCACTCCCACAGACGGAGTTCTGCTCAGCAACAAGACAGGCTGACAGCTGCCAGTACAGCGGTGGTGGTGGGAGCCTCTCCCGCCTCCTCAGCAGCACTAAGAATGTCCAACTGCAGCTTAGGCCTGCTCCCCACTAGCGAGTGGACATCCTCCGAGGGCTCCTGGGCTGCCAGAGGGATTTCTGACTGCCAGCTTAGGCCCAATCCCCAGGGAGTGGGCCTAAGCCAGCAGGTGGTCATCCCCCAAGGGGCCCCAGACTGCAAGAGGGCACAGGCCGGGCTGAGGGCCTACCCCCCAAGTGCACAAATTTTTGTGCACTGGGCCTCTAGTAATAGAATAATACTCAGCAAGAAAATAAATTATTGATACATTCAACATGAATCTCACAAACATGCTAATAAACAAAAGAAATCAGTCACCAAAGAGTTCACACTGCATGATTCAATGTATGGAGAATTCTAGATGAGAGAAAAGAAATCCATGGTGAAAAATAATCAGAAGAAAAAGTAAATAGCTCTGGAAGGTAGGACTGACTGGGAAGAAGCATAAGGAAACTCTCCGCAGTGACAGAAATAATTTACCTGATGATAAAAGTCTGAGTTACACAAATGTAGGCATTTGTTAAAACATGTCAAATTGTGCTTAGTATTTCTCATTTCACAATATGTAAATGTTATCTTATAAAAAGAACTGTAAACATACCAAAGTCTATTATTAGCCTGCATTAGCAATACTTAAATTATTTTCTGTGTATTTTGGGGTTGAATAAATATACTGAGGAAAATGTAAGGCAGGTTTCTGGCTGTTGGAGTAGGAAGTTACCATATCAAAATGGAGATTAGAATGAACCCTGAAGTCATTGGACTAGAATAAAAGAGGTCAATATAAACTGATTTCCCCAGTTATTATCAAGTTCCCTGTACTAAATAAGAAATGACCCATTCTCACTAGGCTTCAGCAATCCCTCCTTTAAACTCCCAGTGAACTTGCCTGTGATCTTCATTTGGCGCTTATCACATGTTATTTTGAATGGTTTATATATGTATCCCACTTGCCTTACTGGATTATAAACCCTGTGAGGTCAGCAGTTGGTATTTCAGTAGCTTACTCAGTGTCCTAAACATGCTTTATAATTTTTACAATTTTTTAGCTATCAGCTTAATAAAACTCTATAGACTGATTTCAACTAAAAATGCTACCTGAAGTTTTCTTCCTGTAATTGCTCTAGTTGTAACTGTGCATGAAAAAACTTTTTTGCAACCATTGTATTTGGATCATCAAAAGATCCATCCAACTGGTCAAGTTTTTCATTCATCATTGCATTCTCAGAAACCAGTGAATTCTTTTCATCTTGAAGTGCAGTCACCTACAAAAAGACAAATACACAAATATAAGCATCAATAGTAAAAACCTTGAAGTCCAGAGTTTTAAGTTCTAATTCTGCCAAACCCATTAAATTTGCTTGAGCAAGATAATTCCTAGGACCCTTCCAACTCTAGAATTCTGGGTCTAAGAGGTTCCAAACATAAGAAATCAGATTAATTAGATTAATATACAGAAAACAGAGTACATACACGTGTACACACACACACACACACACACACACACATACACACACACTCTAGAGGCCCAGTGCACAAAACTTGTGAACTTGGGGAAGGGGGTTCCCTCGGCCCGGATTGCAAGAGGGTTCAGACCAGGCCGAGGGACCCCACCAGTGCATGAACAGGGCCGGGGAGGGACGCAGGAGGTTGGCCAGCCAGGGAGGGATTGTGGGAGGGCTGCAGGGCATGTCCGGCCCGTCTCGCTCAGTCCCTATTGGCTGTACCCCAGCAGCACGCTAATCTATCAGTCAGAGCGTCTGTCACTGGTGGTCAGTGCACAGCAAAGTGAGTGGTTGACCAGCCTTAGCATATCTACGCTAATAAAAGACAAAGATGCTAACTGACCACACCTCCGCTACGCCCACCAGCCAATCAGAAGAGTATGCAAATTAACCCAACAAAGATGGCAGTTAATTTGCATACACAGGCACCCAGGGAAGACTGAAGACAGTGTAGAAGGAAGTCAAGCACTGTAGAAGGGAGCCAAGCGGCGAAGAAGGAAACGGATCGGAGGTAGCAGAGATGGGAACGGAGCTGAGGCAGGGGACATGGGAGGGAGCGAAGTGGTGGAGAAGGGAGGGAGCCAGGCGGTGAGAAGGGAGTGAGCGAGGTGGTGGAGAAGGAAGGGAGCGAGGCGGCAGAGATGGGAGGAATCGAGGCGGCAGAGATGGGATGGAGCGAAGAGGCGGAGAAGGGAGAGAGTGTGGAGGCAGAGATGGGAGGGAACAAAGCAGAGGAGACAGGAGGAAGCCAGGTGGTGGAGGCGGGAGGAATTGAGGTGGCTCCCCTCTCCACTGCTTCACTCCAGCCTCAGGAAGCCCTATTCTTTCAGGAATCTTCCTGCAACAGGCCTCTAGTCATTAGCATATTACACTTTGATTGGTTGAACAGACGACCAGATAACCAAACACTTAGCATATTAGACTTTTAATATAGGACTAGTGGCCCAGTGAATGAAATTCATGCACTGGGGGAGGAAGATGTCCCTCAGCCCAGCCTGCACCCTCTCGAATCTGGGATATCCCTCTCACAATCTGGGACCGCTGGCTCCTAACTGCTAACCTGCCTGCCTGATCGCCCCTAACCACTCTGCCTGCCAGCCTGATCACCCCTAACTGCCCACCCCTGCTGGACTGATTGCCCCCAGCTACCCCCCTCTGCTGACCTGTCCCTAACTGCCCTCCCGCCGGCTTGCTCCCCCCCAACTGCCCCCCTGCACCCCCCCGCCAGTCTGCTCGCCCCCAACTGCCCTGCCCACCAGCCTGATTGCCCCCAACTGCCTTCCCCGCTGGCCTGCTCGCACCCAACTGCCCTCCCCTGCCGGCCTGATCACCTCTAACCACCTCTGCCTCTGCCGCACCACTATGGCTTTGTCTGGAAGGTCTTCCAGAAGGTATCCCAGTCTAATTAGCATATTACCCTTTTATTAGTATAGATAATGAAAATATTTCCAAGATGTTATGCTTGCCTTGGTTCCATAAAGAAAATGTTTCTAAGCCTCTAAACCAGTGGTTCTCAACATTCTGGCCCTTTAAATATAGTTCCTCATGTTGTGACCCCAACCATAAAATTATTTTCGTTGCTACTTTATAACTGTAATTTTGCTACTGTTATGAATCATAATGTAAATAGCTGATATGCAGGATGGTCTTAGGCAACCCCTGTGAAAGGGTCATTTGACTGCCAAAGGGGTCGCAACCCACAGATTGAGAACCACTGCTCTAACCTGTGATATATCAATTAACTTTAAAAAATTAATTTGTTCCCTTTTTAGTTATAAATTTATTTGCAGGATGCTGTTACCTAGTAAGCCAAAATACACAGATGTATGCACAAAGTTATCATTTTAGTTTCATAGCAGAAAATGATCAATTGCACATCAAGTCTTCAGGGACAAATACATTATTTAGTTCATGAATCAATAACAACAATATAAATTAAATTTATACGTACATTGAGACTATTCTCTTATTTAAAACTAGAGGCCTGGCCCATGAAATTGTGCACGAGTACGGTCCCTAGGCCTAGCCTGAGATCAGAGCCATCTTCCGCCAGTTTGCCAGTCCCCAGTCCCACTTCCACCACCCACTCTAGTTCCCCGTTCGCCATTCAGTGATATGAGCTTGTGGGCCAGGGGTGGGACCAAGAGGTAGTCAGTACACCTCAAAGTGATTGGTCAAGCAGTCATTCTGGTTCTTATACTGTTATGGTCGCTGGGCTTTTATTACATTGGATGGCTAAAAACAAGTAACTTTAAAATCACATCAGTATTAGTACCAGACATTTTCCTACTTTAGTTAAAATTTATGTAATAAGCATGATTTGCTCTCTTGTTCTATTTGTTTTCATTTTAAAACGTCTTTAAAATTTTATAGCAAGGCTGTGACTTTTTATAAAGCCCTAAGTTTACATATGATTTTATTGAGATTTATTAAAACAAAAAACTGGAGCTGCCCTGGCCAGGTGGCTCAACTGGTTGGAGCATCATCCCACACACCAAAAAGTTTCAGGTGCAATTCCCAGTCAGATAACTAGTTTGTAGGTTCAATCCCTGCTCAGTCCAGGCACATATGGGAGGTAACTGATTGATATTTCTCACATCAAGGTTTCTCTCTCTCCCCCCTTCCTCTCTCTAAAAATCAATAAAAACATACCCTTGAATAAGGATTAAACACACACATACACACACACACAAAACAACAAACTTGACCTATCATGACTTCTGACATACTGTACAAGTCTGGTATTTTTATTTTCAAAAGGTGTAATTAACTTAACCCACTTATGTGAATGAGACTATATATTGACACATTGAGCTAATAACAGGAAATTAAAATTCTTAATTTTACCTTAAATACACTATAGGAAAGTTACAGACATTGTCCTCCTAATGAGAAACACAAAAAAGTCTGGAAAACTGTCCCCAGGCAGCTATAGAAGGAAACAATTATCCCTCTTTGTCATAAAAGCAGTTTAGTGACTATTACCGGTCATGTATAATCCTAAGTGACTGATATATAAATAAAGAATAAGAATTTGTGCCCTTAAGATCCTTACAATAGAAACATACACAAAAATTAAATTTACATATAGGATATCATGACAGTACAATTAACCTTTTGTATAGTTTTAAGACTTATTGCATAACTTCTACATTTGCATCTTCACATAATAGCAGTAACAATGTATGTATGCAAATATACAGTGCTATGTGCCAGACCTTATTCTTAGTGCTTTATGTATATTAACTCACTCAATACTCATAATCACTCTGGGAGATATATATTATCACATCATTTCTTGACAGATGTGATAGAAATTAAGATGAAGTATAGAAATTAAGTGACTTGCCTGAGAGGATATAACCAGTTAATAACATGGTCAGATTCTGGATATAGATGGCCTGGTTTGAAAATCTCTCTCTTTAACCATTAATAATTATTTCTTACATCAAGTTTATTCTGCTAACATGCATTACAGATAAACACAAGAATTATATATGCATGTGTTCATATTCACATACATGCTAGCAAAACAAAATTGGCACTCAGTTATTGGGGGGTCAAGCACTTCTAAGCATTTCTATCCATCACCTCACTTAATATACAAACACTATGAAATAGATACTTTAATTTCCCCTTTTTACAAAAGATAAAACTAACACATCTAAATATTAGTTAAAATTCTATAATTAGAATGATCTTTTCGAAGTAGTTAAGCCAGCAATTTTCAATTATAGAGAAAATAATTATGAAAATCATACTGGAATATTCAAACCTTTAATGCAGTCTTTTTTTTAAAAAATATATTTTATTGATTTTTTTACAGAGAGGAAAGGAGAGAGATAGAGATAGAGAGTCAGAAACATCGATGAGAGAGAAACATCGATCAGCTGCCTCCTGCACATCCCCCACCGGGGAAGCGCGCGCAACCCAGGTACATGCCCTTGACCGGAATCGAACCTGGGACCCTTCAGTCCGCAGGCCGACGCTCTATCCACTGAGCCAAACCGGTTTCGGCTAATACAGTCTTTTAATGGGCCCTTTATGAAATGAAACCCAACCTCCAATACACTTTGCCAAATACCTAATTAAAATTAAACCCTGGTACACTTAAAACAGGAACTTTCTTAGATCGGGTTTCTTTTCCGCACCTGCATATCCAGTTCTTGGCATCTCTGCCTCAGTTCTTCTTTTTCTGAGAGTGCTTCCTGAAGTTCTTCCAGAGCCCTTTTAAGCTGAAATATAAAATGTCCTAATTGTTAGTAAATCATGTTTTGATACAAACTGAAAAATATGCTTTCATCACAACACATATATACACTGATATTGGAAAAGGTTTTTAAATTTTACCTATTAACAAATAAGTCTTAATATTTTGTTTTTATGTGATGTTTACATATCATTAACATTTAAGGCTAAGGTCCCACAGAAATAAAATTTTATGTAAATCCTTGTGAAATATTTAAGCAAGAGTATTAGCAGATGCACTGCTTAATTTCATCACAGAAAAAAATTAGAACACAAGCTTAAATTAAAATCTTTCTAGAAAAAAATATTTTAATTTGAAATACTTCTTCAGATGAGTGGTGAATTCATGAAAACAAATGTCTAAAAATGTAACAAGAAAAGTTCCTGATGCATTTGCCTCTCCTCTTACCCTTTCCTTTACAACCAGACTGGGTTATATCCAGGCGGAAAGGGCATTTTCCCCCATTAAGAAAGGCATATAATAAAGCCAGGGGAAGGAGACTCAAGTACAAAGTCTTTGAGCTGTTTCTTCAATATTAAGAGAAAGGAAAGCAACTGTGACAAAAATTATATTACCTTAGTACAGCCATGGGCAAACTACGGCCCATTTGAAATGAATAAAACAACACAAAACAAAAAAGATCGTACCCTTTTATGTAATGATGTTTACTTTGAATTTATATTAGTTCACACAAACACTCCATCCATGCTTTTGTTCCAGCCCTCCAGTCCAGTTTAAGAACCCATTGTGGCCCTCGAGTCAAAAAGTTTGCCCACCCCTGCCTTAGTAGATAAATGTGAACTTAGCAGAATTGTTTAAACTGTCTACTACTTCCTAACTATATAAAATGGGTCACATCCTATATAATAAAACCCTAATATGCAAATCGACCAAAAGGCAGAAATATCGGCCAACCAGTTGCTATGATGCTCACTGACCACCAGAGGGCAGACGCTCCCACAGGGGGAGTGCCACTCAGCCAGAAGCCGGGCTCACCGCTGGCGAGCACAGCGGAGGCAGGAGTGTTTCCCGCCACCGCAGTAGCACTAAGGAACAGCGAGCTGGTGGGTGGAAAGGAGTGAGTGGTCCCAGACTGTGAGAGGAATCCCAGACTGTGAGAGGATGTCCAACTGCTGGCTTAGGCCCGATCCTGGGCACAGGCCAGGTTGAGGGATGCCCCACCCCCAACCCCAGTGCACAAATTTCGTGCACCAGGCCTCTAGTATGCATTCTAAGTGTCAGAAGGAAATTCGATACCTTTCAGCTCTTCAAATGATCATAAAAATCTCTGCAGACCAGCACTACTTGTATTCATGAAGGAATGGATAATATTCAATTGAGATCTCATAAACTATCTAAACCTCATGGAGGAAAATAATCTTGTATATGTTCTCTGTAAGCTTTATGACAGTAACTGGCAAGCACTATATCATTGCTTTCAACATCTTCCTCACATACTGAAATACTCACCTGTTGTTCTAATTCTCCAACAGCATCATTTGTAGGAGAGTTCAATATTTCTTTACTCATCAACTAGGAAATTAAAATAGTAAATTAAGTACAATAAACTGATGTTTCTACAGTAAAAATGTTTACTTGAAAGGACAGTGGAACACTTTATAATTTTTCCTTATCTTAATTTGACAATCCTTAGAATATTATTCAAATAAAAATTTTACAGAGGTTTAAGTTAAATAACACAATATTCAAGGCATTATACAAGTGAGGATATTATAAGTAAAGTATGCTTAAAATAAGTACACATATTGAAAACATGTGTACTAAAGAATTATAATCCAAGTTCTAAAAGATGAATAAAAATGAACATAATAAAAATGACTCTTCCATAATAAATATTAACTTTTAAAATACAGCCTTTAAATGAGTGATACAACAGAATTGTGCACCTGAAACCTGTATAACTATGTTAACCAGTGACACCACAGTAAATTCAATTAAAGGGAAAAAAGAAAAAATGAGTGATATGGCAAAATTACTAATTTAAAGAGATTTTAAACATAGGAGTTATATGAAAAAATTTCTTTAAAATAGTTATTTTTGCATATAAAAGGCAGACTTATTTATGTATAGTGACACCTTGAATTCAAACCAAAAATGCACATTCAGAGTACACAGACTTCTAAAGTCCTATATAATGCCCCTTCCAAACTATGGTTGTCCTCAGTAATCCTTCACTCTACTTTCCCTCAGTTTTCCCCTGCTCTGTATCTCTGCCTTTTTAGTCTGATTTTAAGAATAAACATGCATGACATGATTTCTGAATCTTTATGGTTCAACTTTGATAACTGGTCTGGCTTGAACCCAGGCTACCTGGCTCCAAAACCTATTAAGTATCACCATGTTTTCTCACAGTTCTAACATTCTGAAAATGCAAATGTTACACACACATACACATACATACATACACACACATAAATACAAATACACAGAACACACTTTAAAATTTCAGGAGAGATTGCTGTAACTGGCAGAAAAAAGGAGAATAAAAATTCCTACCGCCGAAACCGGTTTGGCTCAGTGGATAGAGCGTCAGCCTGCGGACCGAAGGGTCCCAGGTTCGATTCCAGTCAGGGGCATGTACCTGGGTTGCGGGCACATCCCCACTGGGGGACGTGCAGGAGGCAGCTGATCGATGTTTCTCTCTCTTCGATGTTTCTGACTATCTTTCTCTCTCCCTTCCTCTCTGTAAAAAAATCAATAAAATATATTTAAAAAAAAAATTCCTACCTAGAGAGAGGTTATTTATCCTGCTTAACTGAAGTTATTTAAAGGATCTTGACAATATCAATTTATCTTTTAAATGCAGAAAAACTAATATTGGGCTTGATGTCCTTTTAAGATATTTTTTTTTGGGGGGGGGTGGGGGACAGGGAAGACACAATAGCTAAAAGTAAACATGCTGCAAAGAGCAAATCTATACAAACAGAAAAATATACATCCATAAAATTTATGTGAAGTTTTATAACATTTGGTTTAAGATTTTCATGCATATGTGAATATGACGTAACTTACCTCTTGAATAGCAGTCATGACCACATGTTGAACAGACTCTTCCAGTGTCATTATGTTTTGAATATGTTCTATGATTTAAAAAAGAAATCGATTTTTTCTGAAAAAGAATCTACTCTTTACCCATAGTGCTTTAGCCATTCAATTAATAGCATAAAAATGCATTTACCACATATAATTGTCTATGCAAGTACATTATTTTTCCACAAGAAATATGTCAATTATAAACAAGCAGAGAATTAAAAATATTCATATAAATATTTTTAAATGGTTTATCTACTTATTTTTAATCCTCATATAAGCATGTTTTTATTGATTTTTAGGGAGAAGGAGAGAGAGAGAAATCGATTAGTTGCCTCCTGAATGCGCCATGACCAGAAATGAAACCCACAACATTTTGGTGTAGAGGATGACAATCCAACCAACTGAGCTACCCAGCCAAGGCTAAATCGTTTATTTTAAAGAAGAAAACTTCTAATTTTCTTATAAGGAACAGAAAAAGAAGAGATTGCAATTAATCTTAAAACAATTATGACAATTTCTTCCCTCTTGTTAAAATATTCAGTATCATGGAATAAAATCACATGTATTAAATGAACTTCTAAAATTTTAAGCCCAGAAAGTTTAATTTGATCGCCTATTTAGTTCATTTCAGGAAGGCTTTCAAAGAAAGAAGTTATATAGTTTCCTGTAAAAGCCCATCCAACATTTACCCAGGCTCATCTTAAGGTGATACTGATACAAGCACACATGCAATAAGTTAAGCTGATACTATCCCAATGAGAAAGGAGGAATGATGAGACGTCTTTCATGTATTTGTAGATTTAAATCCATTTCAACTACATGTTTTCTAGCTAAGACAATTTTCTAACAACTTTAAAGACTTCGTATTATCTAATAGTTTTATTATTTTAATAACTCCTCTGGAAACTTCTAAGAAGTTCTTTAAGTCTTTCTTTTATTTGTGAAGCCAACAAGTAGACAGATTCTGATTCTGATATGTACCTGACAACTAAGTGCTATACGAGTGTGTGTGTGTGTGTGTGTGTGGGGGGGGGGGGTTAACTAGAGAATGCACAAGAAGTGGAATGGTTTCCTTTAACTGAATTTTTGGGATAATAGAGTACTTCCAGTTTGCTAAAGTGGTCAAAAAAATGATCATTTTCCTCACCAAAATATACAGGGTACTGTTTACCAAACTAGTTCATTCATTCATGATTAGAATGTTGCAATACCTTGGATGGAATCATTTTGAAAATAAACTTTGCAAAGCATGAAGGTTTGGAAGCAACATTATATTCTGGATGTGTTTTATTTTTACATTTTAATTAAGTTACTTCAAGAATTTTTTTTTCATTTATCTGCTTACTCCTAAAAATTGCAACCCCAGACACATTCCTCCAAAAATAAATTCAAGTAGATAATCCTGATTTTTTAAAATATATATTTTATTGATTTTTTACAGAGAGGAAGGGAGAGGGATAGAGAGTTAGTAACATCAATGAGAGAGAAACGTCGATCAGCTGCCTCCTGTACACCCCCTACTGGGGATGTGCCCGCAACCAAGGTACATGCCCTTGACCGGAATCGAACCTGGGACCCCTCAATCCCCAGGCCGACGCTCTATTCAGTGAGCCAAACCAGCTAGGGCTAGTCCTGATTTTTTAATAATGAAAATTAAGCTATCTCCTTATATTCACTACTTTCTAAGCTTTTATTTATTTATCTAAGAACTGAATTTCCTTTTAAAAATATAAGGACAAAATTGCTAAGTAATGCTTAAAATTATGAAAATACTACATATTACATTAAAATTTGTAAGAAGCAACAAAATTATAATGTAAGGGAAAACTCTAGCTTAACATGCCAATCATAGCTTGAAATAGAACTGATTTATTCAAGTGAAACAAGATAGAAGAACGAATATTTACCAGTACAAATAGAACAGAATCAAAGCCAAAGTTGTTTCTTTAAGAAAAGAGTATTAAAACTGACAAACATGCTAAAATTAAGCAAAAATAATGTGTGAACCCTGAGAAAGAAGACACCTACTAAGAAGGGCTCTTGGTGGTTAACTGGGCTCAAATTTTAAAAAAACCAGAGCCCAGCTCGTCTAGCGTAGGTCAGTGTTTGAGCATAGACCTGTGAACCTGGAGGTCACGGTTTGATTCCCGGTCGGGGCAAATGCCCGGGTTCCAGGCTAAATCACCAGTAGGGGGGCATGCAATAAGAGGGAGCTGATCAATGATTCTCATCATTGATGTTTCTATCTTTCTATCTATCTCCCTTTCTTCCTCTCTGTAATCAATAAAGAATACATAAAACAGATTATCAGCCATTTCTACACAGGAACCTCACATGCAAACTGCACTTCAGGGAGAATCTGCACTTAACTGCTTGCCTGCACTGTGTTTCTTCCATATGAGCCTACTTATAAAGGAATTCCTGAGGCTTTCTCCATCCAATCAGAGATGTGAAGTTCCAACCAACTAGAGTGGCTCTATTCTAATCAATCAGACAGTGCCTTTTGGACCAAACTGTGAGGATTTAGATTCCTCATTTGCATGAGGACTGAAAGATCAGGGAGGAGGGGCGGGCACTCCTTCCCATATAAGCCAGCTCCCCCTCTAGCTCTGAGAGAACACTTTCCCTTTCCACCAAAAACTGAAGACTGTGTCTCCCTGGCTGAGCTGAATGAGCCAGAGAAGAACAGACCACAGAGGAGCAGACCAAAAGACCACAGCAGAGCAGAGCAGACCAGTTCAACCCAAGGCAGACCATGGAGGAGCAGAGCAGAGGCGTCTAGCTGGAGAGGAGCCTGACCCCAAGTCTGCCTCACAGCCCTGCTGTTTTCATAGTTGTGCTGTATCACAGTTGAGCTGTTTTGCCCGTATATAGTTTCCTTCTTCACAGCACCCAAATTGAGGATTCCTATTGGCATTAAATTGGTGCCAATGCCCACTATTTGACAAATGTTATATATACCCAGTAATTGAAATAGAAACAAAGGATTAAAGACAAAATTCAAAAGATCACAACAGAAAAATGCTAAAAATGAGCTTCGATTTGTCCATTTTTAAACACTTACTGAAGTTTTAACTTTACATTCCTTACATTCCAATAGGTAGACCTTTGACATTATCTGTTAGAAATAAAAGCCTCTAGGGAAGTGATGTGCCCTAAACAAAACAGCTAGGTAATGACAGCTGGAAGGATTAATATCAAAATTTCCAGATACTCAATCCCTTTTTATTGATACAGGCAGTCCTCGGGTTACATAGTCGGACGTACTCAGTTTCATGGTTACGTCACCATCTCCCATTTATTTATACTAAAAAAAAAGTTCTGTCATTTTGACGTATGTACATATGTGCTTTATGTTTATTATTATTTATTTACCACAAGTAAAGGTCAGGAACTGTTATCTTTCTTTTAAATTTTTTTTACTGTTTCACTTCATTACTGCTGTGTATGTGCTCCATGTGAGTGACGTAGCTGCTTATGTAGGTGGATTCCAACTTATTGCGAAAATCATGTTTCGTCACATGGTAGTAACGGATCTCCAACATAACCTGAGGGCCTACTGTAACTAGAGGCCTGGGGCACAAGATGAGTGCACTCAGGGGCGTCCCTCAGTCCGGCCTGCACCTTCTCGCAGTCTAGGAGCCCTCAGGGGATGTCCGACTGATGGTGTAGGCCCACTCCAGACATAGTTAGTGCTGCCACAGAGGCAGAAAAGGCTTCCACCGCTGCGCTCGCCAGCCCTGAGCCGGGCTTCTGGCTGAGCGGCGCTCTCCCTGTGGGAGTGCACTGACCACCTGGGGGACAGCTCCTGCATTGTTTGCCCCTGGTGGTCAGTGTGCATCACAGCAACAGGTCATTCTGCCGTTTGGTCGATTTGCATATTAGACTTTTATTATATAGGATTAATGTCAAGTTTTTTTATTTTTCTCCTCCCTGAATTTGCTTTATTGAACTTATCCTATCTCATATGCTCTCTTCTTTCAATAGATAACATGGAATGTGTTTTCTAAGGCCCTGATTAAAATACTTTACAAACTTAGCCCGCCTGGTATGGCTCAGTGGTTGAGCATTAACCTATGAATCAGGAGGTCACCAGTTGGGTTCCCAGTCAGGGTACATGCCCAGGGTTGTGAGCTCAATCCCCAGTAGGGGGTGTGCAGAAGGCAACTGATCGATGTTTCTCTCTCATCGAAGTTTCTATCTATCCCTCTATAAAAATCAATAAAAACATATTTTAAAAATATTTTACAACTTAAGTATCCAACATTTTGTTTTAAAGGTAATGTACTAAAGCCAAGTTTGGCCGGCTCATGCAAAAAACACCAGCATCAAAAATCTTACCACTTAGATCAATGCAAGGCCTTCAGCCAAGTAGATCCTGGTTTGTTCAGTTCATCATTTTATTCAGTATATTCAGCCAAAATGCTTTTCTTCTACTCAGTAGAACATGGATCACTGTGTTTGTTTTTATCAATATAATATACCAATTCCATTTATATCATTAGACTACTTATTAGGAGGATTCACTGGACAGGCATTCTTCTGAAGAGCAGAATATCATCTAAAGAAGCCTGAATCATAATTTAACACCTGCATATTTATTTATAAATCTAAAGGCCTGGTACACAAAATTCATGCATGGGGGTGGGGGAGTCCCTCAGCCCAGCCTGCACCCTCTCCAATCTGACTGCTGGACATCCCTCTCACAATCCAGGACTGCTGGCTTCTAACCGCTTACCTGCCTGCCTGACTGATCGCCCCTAACCAGTCTGCCTGCCTGTCTGATCACCCCTAACCACTCTGCTTGCCTGCCTGATCACCCCTAACCGCCTCTGCCTGCCTGATGCCCCTAACTGTTCCCCTGCCGGCCTGATCGCACCCAAACTGCTCCCCTGCCGGCCTGATCGCCCCCTAACTGCTCCCCTGCTGGCCTGATCACCCCCTAACTGCTCCCCTGCCAGCCTGGTTGCCCCCAACTGCTCCCCTGCTGGCCGGATCGCCCCTAACCATCTCTGCCTCAGCCTCCACCACCGCAGCTTTGTCCACAAGGTCATCCAAAATGACGTCCGGAAGGTCATTTGGCTGTCCGGTCTAATTAGCATATTATACTTTTATTAGTACAGATTCTGAATCAACCTAAGGTTCTATTATCTTACAAGTGAAAGAGATACTATATCAAATGAATAAGTACAATATTTACTGATTATCCACTAAGTCTTAAGCAATGAACATATTAAACTAATTAAATTAAAATACATTATATATAGCCACTGAATATGAATCTCAGAATCCAGTTATAATTATGATACTCAAGACTGGTAACTTTTTAGTGGCAGAGCTGTGCTAGAATTCCTATTTTCTGGCTTACATCTCAGGGTGCTGTCAACCAGTAACAGGATACTTTAGTGCTATTTTCTATAGAAATGTAGGTTGTTTATAGAAAGTACATATTCTCAAATGACAGAAATTCACTTACCTTGCTTCTTTTCACAGTTGACCGCACAACCTAAAATAAGCTGCAGTAACCTCCCAAGCTCCACAGAATCTGAACTTTCAGTTATTCGATTTAAATCAGGAATAAGTTCTTCAGAAATCTGTTGCCCCAAAAACTGTGGTATTGAAACAATAAATTAAATCATTCATTTATGTAGGCTACAAAAAATTTACTGCATTTAATTATTACTAGAAAAATTATAAATAGGTTCCTAAAATGACTCAGATAAATTAACAAATGATACACCCAAAATACCGACTAAAGCCAGTTAGTAAAGTTCAAGCCACCTCCCAAAATTTTGAGTAACAAACCAAAAGCAACTAAAATGCTTTTGTACAAAATATCCTTTGATCTCACTACAAAAAAAAGGATTGTTTAAGAAGCCCCTGGCCTGATCTATTTTGACAATACTTAGGCCTTTTCATTAAAAAAAAAAAGATATATGTTATGCCAAAGAATATTCATGATATTTTGATATATAATCAGTTAAGAGAATCACAAAATAAATCATCACACATAAACAACAAATCTAATGAATTAATCTTTCCTGACCTGATCTTTCTTTTTCAGCTAATTAAGAGTTTTTGTGGCATTAGAAAAAGCTTCAAAATGAGTTTTAGGCATAAATAAATTGAAAAATTTCAGTCTTAAAATTATTTGGAAGAAATAACAAGCTAAACTGGGACAACTTTAAAAAATAGAAACATAATTTTGTAATGGCAATTGCTACCATTTCCAAACATTAAGCAATAAACCTTGTTATATCAAATAATCCTAGCAGTGAACTTATGATGCTGAATAAGAAAAAAAATACTTAAATGTACTAGCTAATGTGTTTAATACTACTTTTACTTTGCATTTCCCCCAATTCATTTGCAAAAGCATAATTTCATAGTATATTTGTGCTACTGTTTGCATTGCAAATAGCTATCAAAGCAATGTTTTAAATATGAAATAATTGCAATTTCATTATAAGGTCTACTTTACAGCATTGCATAAAATCAAATCATTTGGAGGCAATTCTATTTCAAAATATAATCAATTTAAACAGTATCAATATAGAAGCAACATTATTTCCCAAATCAATATATTAAGTTTAAGCCTGTTTATGTTCACATAATTTGAATGTTCTAAAAATGGCAAAAAGATATATATACATTATAAATTATTTTCCAGTAATATGTTATAAATGAAAAGCCAAGTCATTTTTCAGTGTCATATAATTATCACATAGCATTTTGTAGTTAAACAAAGTCATATTTTCTCATACCTCGCTGTAATAACTCATAATTCCTTGAAGTACCTTCTTTAAATTACTAGCCTAATAGGGGGAAAAAATAACAAATTTCACAATTTCATAATGAAAGAAAATGTATGCCAAGGTGAAAGACAACAGAAACTGCCCCCTGATAAAAATAAAAAATATACTATATGTTACAGTTCTACAAATATTAAGTACATGATAATTTTTAAACACTGAAGTGTTAATCAGTTTGAGTGAAAGAAAATAATGTCTGCATGCTTACAAAGTTTAACCAGGGTGATTCTATTTAAAATGAGACAGAATGAAGTCAAGTACCAACTTTAAAGATTTAGCACGTCCATGCTCAGTCATGAGCGAGTAATAGGTCTAGACTTAATTTTCCTGACACAAACTACTAGAAAACAGAAGAAGATACAAGGGTCAATTGTTTTCAAGCTGTAGCCAACAAGTAATATAGAACTATAATTTCTGAGATAAGGAAAACAAAAAAAGATGACCCCTACACTATCCAAGATTTCTTTCTAGAGGCAATTTTCACACCATAGCACAGGGCCTGATGTTCTTGTTGAGTTGAAGAGAGAGACATCAGATGTTCATGAAGATCACAGTATTTAGAATTTGCAGGGCAGACAAATGAAAAATTGAGAGCTATAGAGAAAAAGAACTCCAGGAATCTGCATTAATGGTTCCTTTGACGCTATGACTGAATATTAATTTGCATGTGCACGGGTAAAACTCAATGAGATTTAACAAAAATAATTTCCAAGGAAAGAACAATCCTGGGAACTATAATCTGAACAATTCTCAATGATTATAGAAGCCAGAAACTGAAGAAATTCCCACCAGCCAGGGTGAAGAGACTATGCTGTATAGACAAGCATTCACTAATAACTCCCAAAGATCACAACTTAGTAGTAGGTCTAACATAGCCCTAGAACAGCGGTGGAGAATGTTTGGCTTGCAGAATCATTTGGTCTGGCCCTGCCAAGGCATTAGGAGTGAATTAATTAAATGTTTGACCAAATATAGCAGGCTAATTTTTAAGCTGATAATTTTGTATGGCCCGAGAATTATGTTATAAATATCCAAATGGCCCTTGGAAGAAAAATGGTTCCCCAGCCCTAACGAGAGAATCTGCTTTCCACACCCCAAAACCTTTAAAAAAATGACCCAGTGATCCCACTTCTAGGAATTTATCCGAAGAAACCTGAAGCACCAATTAGAAAGAATGTATGCACCCCTATGTTCATAGCAACATAATTTACAATAGCTAAGATCTAGAAACAGCCCAAGTGCCCATCATTAGATGAATGGATAAAAAAGCTGTGGTACATTTATACCATGGAATACTATGCAGCAGTAAAAATAAAGAATCTCTTATCCTTGAGACAGCATGGAGGGACCTGGAGAGTATCATGCTAAGTGAAATAAGTCAGTCAGAGAAAGATAAGTATCACATGATCACACTCATATGTGGAATCAAATGAACAAAATAAACTGATGAACAAGTGGATTCAGAGACTTGAAGCATGGAACAGAGTGTGGAATCTCAGAGGGAAGGCAGGGGGATGGGGCGGGGCAGGGAGGTAATCAACCAAAGACCATGTATGCATATATGCATAACTCATGGACACAGACAATAGGGTGCTGAAGGCCTGGGGCGGGAGCGGGTTGGAGGGGGTCAATGGGGGGGAAAGGGGGACATATGTAATTCTTTCAACGATAAAGAATTATTTTTTTAAGAAAAAGGATCAAACTGATTCACAAGTATCTTAACTGGCTGCAAGAACAAAGTCTAACACACTATAAAATACAAAAAAAACCTCAACACTAAACAATAATGCTCAAACTAGCTAGCATCCAATAAAAAATTACCACACATGTGAAAAAGCAAGAAAATGTGTACTATAACGAGGACAAAACTCAAGTCAATGAAATAGGCCCAGAAATGAGAAATGAAAGAATTAGAAGATAATGTTATAACTGCTAGTTTAAAAATGTTCAAGGATTTCAATAAAAACAGGGATATAAGGAGACATATGTACTACTATTTGTAATACTTTAAACCATTTAAAAAAAAACTAAAATAAAACAAAACAGGAATATAAGAATGTAAAGTTTGTTGTTGTTTTTTTAAAGAACCAAATAAGGAGTTGTTCACTGGATAAAAAAGCAAGACCCAACAATTAGGTGTCATGAAACACTTCTAATACAAAAACTTAGAGATTAAAAGAACAGAAAAAAAAAACACTAAAGCAAAACATAATAATAAAAATGAAGTTGCTACATTAGTACCAGACAAATTAGACTTCAGAACAAGGGATATTATAAGGGATAAAAGAAAGATATTTCATAATGGTAAGTATATTCATTCATATTTTAGGACATAAAATTAATGTATATAAACCTAATAATAGAGATTAAATCATGAGATTTAGAAATTAACAGAATTTAAAGAAAAAACTGACAAATCCACAATCATCATTAGAAATTAAAGGAGTCCTTCTACCTTGATAAAATAATCAGACAAGAAATCAATAAAGATATAAAAGATACAAACAGTATTATCAATAAACTTGACATAAATTGTAGAACTGCAGAATACAAATTATTTTCAAGTATATATGGAATATTCACCAAAGACAGATCAGATATTAGGCTATAAAATCAGTCCAGGAAATTTAAAGGAATTTCTTAATATCAAAATGGAATTAAATTAGCAATTAAGAAATTTTTTTAAAGTTACTTAAAAATTCTAATTTTTTAGAATTTAAAATATTACTTCTAATTAACCCATGGATCAAAGGAAAAAGCACAAGGAAAATTACCAAATATTTTGAAGTGACTGAAAATAAGAACACTGCATGTCAAAATATGGGGGATGTGTCTAAGGCAGCCGTGGGCAAACTAAGGCCGGCTGCCGTTTGAAATGAATAAAACTATTGGGGAAAAAAGACCTACCCTTTTATGTAATGATGTTTACTTTGAATTTACATTAGTTCACACACACACTCCATCCATGCTTTTGTTCGGCCCTCCGGTCCAGTTTAAGAACCCATTGTGGCCCTCGAGTCAAAAAGTTTGCCCACCCCTGGGCTAAGGCAATGCTTCATAAGGGGGGGAGGGGGCGGGGGAGAGGACAAAGATCCAAAACTGATGATATAAGCTTCCACCTTAAGAAGCAAGAAAAAGAAGTGAATATGTAAGTAGAAGAAAGGAAATTTAAAAAAAAGATTAAAGAGAAAAATCAATAAAACAAAACATAAGCTAGTTGTTTGGAAAAAACAACAATAAAATTCAAAAAGATTGATTGAACCAGACTTATCAAGACAAAAATACAAAACACATAAATTACAATATCAGGAAAGAAAGAGGAAAAAAAAAACAATTCAAACATCCATCAATAAGTGAATGTGGTATAGTAATGTAACGAAATAACACTTAGTAAATCTACTGTTAATACAGTCAACATGAATGAGTCTCAAAAACATTATACTGAGTAAAAGATGCTAGAGACAAAGAGTACAAAATGTTTGATTCCACTCATATGGAACTCTAGAAATGAAACCTTTAGAGACAGAAAGCAGATCTGTGGCCAACTGGGGCCAAGGTAAGAATAAGAATTAATTGGGAAGGGGCATAAGCACATATTTTAGATTAATAAAAATTTCCTATCTCTAACTATGATGATAGTTATATAGGAAACATACATGTGTCAAAGCTCAAACTGCATACAATAAGTGCAACCTTAAGTTAATTTTTTTTTAAAAATTTAGTTGAGCTTAGTACTAATTTTAGAACCAATGCTTGGATCAAGTGGGTTCTTCAATTCATTCTGCATACCTTTATCCTCCAGTTGTCGGCAATATCCTCCTTAATTCGGCTTAACCAAGATTCATTGAACCAAGCTGCATCACTGAAACAAAAATACAAATGCTAAACATGTAAAATACCAAATTCAGTCAACAGAAAAAGTTACTTCATATTTTAAAGCCTGTCCTTAATAAGAATAGTACATATTATTTAGAAGATCCTCTAAATTTTTTGTTATTCCTAATGACTTATTTTAGAATTTCTCATAATAAACTACTTAAGTGATTAACAACTTCAATTTAAGAAACATTTACTAAATATGTCAACAGGTATCCTGAAAGTAGGAAGATGTGAAAGTCCCTATCCTAAAGGAGAAAAAAAAAGAGAAAACTAATTTTTCATGTCTACTATGTCTCAAGCACTGTGCTTAATGTTTTTCCATATTATTTCATATAAATGTCACATTAACTTGGGCAAACTATTTTTTTTCAATCTTACTTTTCAGAGAACTGAGGATGAGAGAACCTAAATAATTTGTCCCAAGTGAAATTAAAATTAGTATCTGGCAAAACCCCAAACAAATTTCACTGTAACTGAGTAGAATGAGTATAAAGAGAAATCTACAAGGACAAATTTAGTTTTAAACTAAGTACTATTGATATTGAAGGTCAACACACAAAAAAAACCTGCTGTATCAATATGTATGTATTAAATAAGGTCTAGAACAGCGGTTCTCAACCTGTGGGTCGCGACCCCTTTGGGGGTCAAAAGACCCTTTCACAGGGGTCGCCTAAGACCATTGGAAAACACATATATAATTACATATTGTTTTTGTGATGAATCACTATGCTTTAATTATGTTCAATTTGTAACAATGAAATTGGGGGTCACCACAACATGGAGAACTGTATTAAAGGGTCGCAGCATTAGGAAGGTTGAGAACCACTGGTCTGGAAGAATGACACTAACCGTAAATAATGGACTATATTAATAGATTATATTTAAAACAAATATTTGGATACTTGCTCTGAGTAAGGTATTAAGCAAGGTTAATCTGAAGATAAATAATTTACTCTTCTGACTCTTAGAGAAGTAATTATTAAAGGGAAAAATAGGAAGCAAAAATAACTATACTCAAAGGAGAATGAGATAAATGCTTTAAGCGTTAAGCCAACACGACAAAATCAGAATATAGTGCTAGAAGACGTCTTAAAGGTCCCATCTAAATCTTGACTTTACAGATAAGCAAATAAAGTGAGGAAAGAAATCAAAGTATTATTTTTCATGGCAGTATCTTGAATTTAAAATGCAAAGCTGAAATTAGAAAACAGTGATTAGCTTTTCAGAAACTGTCTGCCTTAGATGTTCTAATTCAGAAGCTCTCACTTCTGACAGGAGTAACCAAAAATGGCTTCACCACTTTAAATTCCTTTATTTTGAATTTTAACTGTTTTCTTTTTTGTTAATCCTCACCTGAGGAGGATTTTTTTTTCTGATTTTTAGAGTGGAAGGGATTAAGATGTTGGCAAGGTAGGTTTCATTCTGAAGTCTGTTCTCTTGGCTTGTAGGCAGCTGCCATCTTGCTATGTGTGCTCACATGATCTCTTCTTTGTACGTTTGCAGGGAGTGACCTCTCTGATTTCTCTTTTTATAAGAAGTCTAATCCTAGCAGATCAGGGCCCCCACACTTACCATCTGATTAACATTAATGACTTCCTTAGAGGCCCTATCTCTAATACAGATACACAATGAAGCCCTACACAGTTAAGTCTTCAGCATATGAATTTTGAAAGGGCACAAATATTCAGTCCTTGAGAAATACTTGCTGACGTGTCCATAAATATATACTAGGTGTATCGGTTAACAATGTGGATATTATAATCAAAGAAAACCCTATAATTTCAAGAGAAACATCAAAAGTGCTTTATTCAAAGTAATGTCCATCACTAGCTACACATTCCCCCCAATCTTTCAGCTAATTTGTGGATACCGTCCCAATAGAACTTTTCTTGTTTTGAAGCAAACCATTCAGGGACCCAATTTTCCACTTCTTCCTGTTTTAAAGTGCTCTCAGAAAGTGCGTGTGCCATCAATGGGAACAAGTGGTAATCTGAAGGAACAAGTTCTGGTGAATACAGCGGATGGGTAACACTTCCCAGGCAAGATCTTTTAATGTGTCTTTAACTGGTTTTGAAGTGTCTGATGGTGCGTCATCATGAAGCAAAATTAATTTGCCATGTCTTCTGGCACATTTTGGTCATTTCACTATCAAAGCATGGTTCAAATTGATTATTTGTCATAGCGATCAGTATTAAGATTTCACCTGGTTTTAGAAGCTCATAATACACCACACCTTCCTGATCCCACCAAACACAGAGCATTGTTTTTTTTCCGAAGCGATTTGGCCTTGCAGTTGATGTGATGGTTGACCTGGATCAACCCATGATTTTGTGCACTGGGGATTCTCAAAATAAATACACTTTTCATCGCCAGTCACAATTCGATGCAAAAAAGGCTTTCTTTTGTGCTGCTGAAGCAACATTTTACTGATGGCTTTTTGGTTTTCCACTTGTCTTTCGTTCAGTTGAGGTGGCACCCATTTTTCTTCCTTTTAAAATCTTTCCCATTGCTTGCAAACGATCGGAAATTGTTTGCTGAGCAATGTTTAATCTTTCTGCAAGTTGTTTTTGAGTTTGACACCCATCTTCAACCAATAATGCTTGTAATTATGGGTCTTCAAACTTTTTTGGTTGACCTGGATATTCTTTGTCTTTCACATTGAAATCGTCACTTTTAAAGCATTTAAACCAGCATTCACAAGTATCTTGAGATGGAGAATGCTCACCATAAGCTTCCCGAAGTATTCAGCAGCACTTTTCTTCAAAATAAAGTAATGAATTAAAACTTTCCGCAAATGTTCTTTTTTGGCACAAAATTCAACATTTTTAAGTGTAAAAAATATCTATGTTAACACCTTCAGAAAATTTGACATATGAAGTTTTGAAGCTTGTTGTCAATACAACAAAATAGAATACATATCAAATTGCATATATATCGACATATGTGTAACTCCATCTATTGAGAAAAATCTGAATTATTAACCAGTACAACTAGTATTTCCTGCTTCTTTCTTATAAACAAATCCATTCTTCTCAAACAATTAAAATGACAGTCAATCTTTGGCATTATTAAACTTGATATCTAACCTCAGAACTCTCTGGACATTTATCCTCCTTTTACTTTTTGCACTGCCACATCTACATGCCTTTATACTCTTGGCCCCAGTAGTTAGCTCCTTTTCTCATATTTCCCAGAACTTCTGTGAAAATCAAGAAGCACCATGTAAGAAAGGGATATGAGACTAAAAAAGCAAATTATGATCCAACTGTCTTCAAATAAAACTAGGTGAGAATCAGTACACAATAATTTTTAACTCCACCTATGGCATTTGTCTTCTGACACTTTTACCAACTAAACTCAGGTAGTAATTAATGCCTACTGATTACTATATATATATCACAATTATATTGCTTCAATGAACTGATACTGCTCTCCTTGAATAATCAAAAGGCCTTTTGTGCTCAACACATCAAGTTGTGATCTGTAATTTGGACATGTACACCTAGCCTTTCATTTAGTCATCTATCAGTAGGGGATCAAGATACTAGATTTCAATGATTATAGCTGACTTGGAGCACTGGCTTTAGAGTCAGGTCAAACTGATGGTATTTTGTTATGGCAACCTCAGAAAACTAATATCATTGTAGTTACAGTTTTCCTACATACATTTAAAACAGAGAGATACATAGTATGTAGTCAAACTAAACATAATTAAGGAACTACAGAACCCTAGCAATAACCCCATGACTCCCACATCTAAGTTATATAGTTTAGGCATTGATTTTTAAGATTTCATTATATGGAAGCTGACACTATGTTAAACATGAGATACAGTTCTAGAGGATAGGAGATCAAAGAGTCATTGTACCATATCAGGTCTCTTCTATTGTGGCTTGGTATAAAGTTACTAAAAGCACCTTCGGCTAGCACTGCTGGGGTGAGTACGCATCCGCTATGGAAGCTGACACTATGTTAAACATGAGATACAGTTCTAGAGGATAGGAGATCAAAGAGTCATTGTACCATATCAGGTCAAAATGGGTCTCTTCTATTGTGGCTTGGTATAAAGTTACTAAAAGCACCTTCGGCTAGCACTGCTGGAGTGAGTGAACACACATCCGCCTTACATCCATACCAACCACAATGTAGCTGTATCTACACCAATACCTACAATATACTGCAATAAAAAAAGGCCAGGTGTATATCCTTATGACAAAAAAAATAATGATGACATCCCCAAATCATCAAGAAAGAATCATATTCAGAATGCTTGGTTCTGGCTAATTAAATCACTTGAAACCAATCAGGGTATAAATAAACAAAACATTTAAGAAACATCTTTAAAAAAGGCAATAAGAAATATTTCAGAATGACAGCCTCCCCAAAAAGTTAACATGTTAAGCTTATCTCTTAAAATGTTAATCTTGAGTTAACTATGTGTCTATTTAAATTAGACCATTTTGAATATTCCAAGGAATGAGAATTTTTATACTGTTTTAAGTTGTTTTTCTAAGAGTGGTAAAGAATTTTTGCTAACCCATCTATGGGGGTTTTCAATCACAACAAACCTTTATAAAATAATAGCAACTATTCAATAGAAAATCTCTGACTATAAAATAAGATAGCAGAGATAGGATTCTGGTCTCATTGAAGATACATTATCATGAAAGTAAGCTTATACAAAATCAATGACTATTAATTAATAAATTATGACTACAGAATTGCCCATGTTTTTTCTACTAAGTGCATACCTCATATTGTAGATGTCATAACCCTAATTCTTATATAATGTTTGGCAAAAATCAGGAAATAATGGGGTTAAGAACTTTTGATATTATGTATTTAAATAAAATGGGCCTAACCCAAAGAGAACTGCTTTATTAGTTTAGGTTCCCTAGGATTTGTAACTTTAAATTTCATTTATACAACATTTCATTATTGGTGGATTCATACATTTACTCTTAGTTTAAATATAGGTTTAAAAAGTTAACATTTTTTCTAAATCCAGTATTTTGTTTGCATTGATAACTTCAAATGACAAGAGTATATCCAAAGGAAACATTTTAAGCAATTATACCATTAATTTAACCTGTTCCTTTCAGTTACTATAGGTTGTGGAAGTGATCAGAACAAGTTTAAAATTAACATCTCTGGAATAGAAATCCTGATTGCCCATTTAAAATTAAGACATATCTTTATTAATAAAGATTAATCAGGTGATATACCTTTTTGTTTCGTAGATGCAAGAATGCTTTGATACCATATGTGTGTCATCACTGAATAAAGTTTCAATAACCTTTAAAATACAGTTTAAGTTTTCTTCCTTGGTATTGGGTTTACAATTCTTTCAGGAAGAACCAGGACCACTACTTACATTTGATGAAGAACTTGTGCCATAGCAACTCCATTAGTCAGCTGTTTTACATCCTGACAAGGTGCAGGGGTATTGAATGTCTGCAGCTAAAAGGACATAAAGCAAATGACTTTACTGCCTCTTTACACCTACCAGGTAGCATTACCAACCTCCCCTCAAACACACACACACACACACATATATATACATATAAACATATATATGAAAATTAGAGAGAAAAATAGCTAATTGACCTGTTTTGTTTAAATTAAGACCCTGCCATACAAGTAAAACTAATAAGTTTCTGTGACTGTGTAATATTTTTAGAAAAATGAATACTTAACATTTCATAAATCATAAAAATATACCTTAAGTCAAATATACTGATGTCATGTATGAAGTACTTCTGACTTTCTGAAAGCCAAGCATGGAACTCCTACATATAGTATGTTTTTTGTCTATTTTGGGGAGAATAACATCAGAAAAAGAACTTCAAGATAACCTAACATTTGCAAGTGAAAATTTCAGTCATATCATTTGATAGGAAAACAAAGGCTAGAATGTCAAGTCTAAAACTACTACTTAGGTTATTGATGAGCTCTAAAATAAGGCAGGACTTCCGCCTGCTATCCAAAATTAGCCTTAGGGCATGAACAGACCAAAGCCCATCTACCATGTCAAGTTCTTTCTATCTAATTTGGCTTTAGATATTACAACTTTTCAAAGCTCTATTTGTTAAACATTCATGCACATATTAAAAAGGGAAGTTAAAATGGTGGCATCATTTTCTAAAAAGCAAACACAAGATAGAAAAATTTTTAAAAAGCATATTAGTCCTGGCCAGTGTGGCTCAGTTGGTTGGGGAGTCTTCCAGTATACTAAAAGGTTGTCACGTTGCTGATTCAATTCCTGGTCAGGACATATACCTAATTTGTGGATTCAACCCCAGGTTGGGGCACGTACGGAAGGCAACCAATCAATGTTCTTTCTCACCTCTTATCTCTCTCTCTCTCTCTCTCTCTCTCTCTCTCTCTCTCATATCCACTCTCTCTAGAATCAATAAGCATGCCCTCCAGTGAGGATTTTTAAAAGGCAAATTATAACAGAGCAAAAATGGATCATCTACTTTCTAGAAATCTAATCTCAACCCATAATGATCTTTAACTCAATATACTATGATTCTTTTTTCTCACATATATTCATCTCCTTTAGTTTACCACTTACATTAATCCAATAAAATTCCCTCTCACCATAATTCACCTTTAGTGGTTGTGTATATTTTGAGATTCTATAAATCTGTCTCCCTTATCCTAATGCAACATGGAAGAATGACATAGACTAACTCTAGCCACAGTTACTTTAAAAGTACACAAAGATACTTTACTGAGCTTCTACTCTATGTGGGACACTGTAATACAGGGCAGATTTACCAAGGAAAATTATCAGGTTTCTACCCTAAAGTAGCCTCAATCAAGAGATAAGGAGAGGAAAAAAACATAAAAATCATTTCTAGAAAATGTGATCTGTAGTCCAGTGATTGTAGTATGCACAAAGTGTTCTGAAATATACCAGTCAACTAATCTAATTAGGTCTTGTATTTAAGAAAGACTATTTAGAGATGGTTCCTAGATGGAAAGTCGAGTAAATAAAGTGTCAAGGGAAGGAAAACTTCAGAAAATAGGGACATAATAAAAGCACAAGTATAGGAAAAGAGATGGTATTTTCAGGCAACATGCAGTTCAGAATTACTGGAATTCTAGTGCAAAGAGGGACGGGAAAGGGGTGAGGACAGTCAGGGGTCAGGCCTCTGAAGAGCCATGACAAAAAGTTTGGCCTTATCCTTAATGGTGTCATCGATATAATGAAAAACAGTAAGAACAGCTTCTACTTCACAAGATGGTTGTGAGAATTAAATTAACTGGTAAACACTGTACTTAGATTAGTGCCTGGCACATGGTATAAACTCAATAGCTGTTAGGACATTCGCTATGACTCAAGGTTTCTGGATGTGTGGGGTCTAAGAACAATAGATATCACAAGCTCCAGACATATAAAATCAGAAAATCCCCAAGTGATTCTAATGCACATCAGTTTTGTGGGAACACTGCTCTGGGTGATGAAGAGAGTGACATCTTTAGTATGTTTTAGAAAATGGAAGAGAGTATTGTAGTATGCACAAAATGGTTGATGAAATTGAGTAAGGAAGTGGAGGCCTTAGAGAAAACAAGCTTAAGGACAGTGCATTGAGGTGTCGATGAAAGTTCAAGAAGTTTAAAAAACTCAAGAAATGTGACCATAAAGGGAAGGGGCAATACAAGAAGTGGTGGCTCTTCGTTCTCTCCTGTTGAGACAGAGAAGATTGGAGCAAGTTTGCATGTGGAGAAGGAGGAGCCCATGGAGAGAGGAAGAAGTAGTAAATACAGAAAGGGGAGAAGAAAGAGCAAAGTTTTAGAAGAGGTGGAAAGGATGGGATGCAGAGCCAGAGCCAAAGATGAGGAGGTCATTTTCCTGAGGGGGAGGAATGTTGGGGGCTCAAACAGGGTACTGATAAAGGTTTTCAAAGAGAAATGTGTGGCTATTCTTAATCATAAAGCTGGGCAGTGTTATGGGTACAAGTGGATTTGGCTGTAGCGGCATTTGTAGAGGTAACAGTCTGCACAGTAATTCCATTTTCTCCACAGTGTTTCAGCAGCCTGAGAACTGGAGAAGCAAATGACCAATTACACTCTGCCATCTATGATTCCTCATGACTTGGTTTATAATGTTTGTACAGTTTTTAAGAAATGTTGCCTTCCATTGTAAAAGCACACAGCTCTGCCAACCACTCCAATCAAAATAGAAAGTTCTTTAATTTTTCTTGATATTGGTCTTCCTCCGTGCCTTATACAAAGTAGGGACTCAATAAATACTGGTTAAAAGAATGGACATAGTCACCTAATACTTAAAAATATTGCAATACAATTCAAGAAAGCCCTACACTTCTCCACCACTTCATATTTAAGTCAATGACATCATAAACACTGCATTTACTACGCTAGTCGATGTTTAGCGCAACCATGCAACAAATTAGGATACACTCTCTAATTAGCCACTTGTTTTAACAAAACACATCATTAGAAGTAAGGTTGCCCTGCCTATGACAGTCTTAAATACAGTACCCAAACCCCAATACTTACTGTAAGTGAAAATACACACGAACAGTTAATTAGCTAATTGCTCTAACTCAGAAGCCCTGGACACTTGCATTCCACTTAAAAGCAAGCTAATTACCTCCAAAGTGCTCCAGTTGCTTTAAATAATGGTAATTTCCAATATGCTTGACAAAGCACCAGAAACCTTCCCTGATGTCTCATTCTTTTGAATTATGTGCATTAGGAGATCGCTTGGGAATGTCATCAACCAATTGCCACCTCACGATCCAGTCCGCTTACATTCCATTTTGCACACAGTACCTTACACAAAACTCAACAACTGGTTTGGGCATGGGCATCAATAACATCTTGTGGATCCTCCAATAACGACTTAAGAAACCACATCACTGCCAGCTCTCCAACAGCTGAGCACCTCCAAAAGGTAAGACATCATTTTGAGGAAGGGAATAAATGGGGGCGGGTCCTGCCTGTCCAAACCCAACACAAATGAACAGAAACACTAGGCATGGCTCAAGTACAAACAAAAATGCCAAGACTCTTCCTTTCAGGAAAATGGTTGGAGGGGTGGGATGGGGGTGGGGGGGGGCAGCGAGAAACAGGGAATAGGAGCCCCTACCCCAATATCTTTTTCTCCTCAAAATAGGCGTAAACATCTCTTCTAAGTGGCTTGTGCAAAATCGGATGCCCAGGTGGCACGGAGTAGCACTAATCCAAGAACTAAAACCACCTCTGGCCCCCTGTACACACGGAGCGAGGCGGCTGGGGTGGAAGGGAGGTTTCCAGAGGGGGCCTGACTCCCAAGTGGCACAAAGGTCCCTGTGAGAAGGCCGCACAGCAGATGGAAGGTGAGCAGATGGACGGTGAGCAGGGCTGTGACCCAGGAGTCCAGCACCTGGTCACGGGGCAGGAGGAAACGGGCCGGGGAAGAGCAGAGGGGCTGGGCCCACTGGGGATGTGCCTGCAACCAAGGTACATGCCCTTGACTAGAATTGAACCTGGGACCCTTCAGTCCACAGGCTGATGCTCTATCCACTGAGCCAAACCAGTTGGGGCTTCTTTAAATGTTTTAAAGCATCAAACTATATAGGTAGGTACATTGTTATTAACTTAATTAGGGTACTCCTAAGGCTTAGGAAGAGCCACACTAA